TGATTTAATATTTCGTATAAAATATATATCAAAACGGTATATTTAAACCTCACCCAGACTAATGCCAGAATCTCCAGGATGTGGAGGTTTGAGTTTGGATCATGTGAAAATGAAATGAACTTCCTATTAATTATTCTTTGAGTGTTGTCTTTTGTTCGGCTCACTTTGTGGCTAAGTTGACTTTTATTTCATGGCGGAATCACGAAATAGAACTTTTATTTAGTTAGTATACCTGCAGTTAGTACAACTAGGTAACTACGAATTTTGCAAAATATAATCCAGAAAAGTAAGATCATATTCTACGACTAGGCTGCAGTTACGTGTAGACGATCCACAGGTGTTACTCGAAATTTTTCAAAATTATTATTTTCTAGCACGATGTGTGAAAGAAAATGTTCGTCCGAAAATCACGTTTAAAGGAAGAATGTGAGGTTTTGGACATGATATGACAATGTATGAAAGAAGCTCCTATTTGTTTTGTTACTGATTTTTCAGATAGTCTTTAACGTGATAAGAAAAATAGTTTCGGATTGAAAATCAGTTGTATATTAAATAAGTAATTAAACCGTTAAATTAGTAATTGAGAAGAGAGACAATCATCTAATGAACCCTTTAATCGGCTGTGATTTGGTATCAAAATGTTGGAGATAATATCGAACTCTTAGGCAGTGTTGCCGCACGCTCTGTGACAAATATAACCTCGTACATCCTCGTACGCTTGCTAATTGAAAATTTTTACTATTGTAGGCTCAAGGTTTTTTTTTTAAGTAAAATTAGATCAAAGCTTTACTTGTTACCTCTAATCCTATATTTTAAATCCTTTTTATAAGTTTTTTGTTTAAGTTAATGGGTCAAGAAGTAAAATAAGTTTTATTTTAGACAAGAAATCAAGTATATAGAAAAGTGCATACATTTTTAGAAACTATTGGAAAATTTTCTATAAAAATTAAAATAGTAAAATAAACTTTTTAAATTATAAACTAATCCTATCATTATTCAAAATAAATGAAAAACACATTATTATGACTTCATCTTTGATGACATACCATTGAAATCAATAAATATTAAATTTTTATTTTTGCCTACTTAGAACTATTTAAATGAATTCTTTAAAATTGCAGTTTTATGAAGGAAATAATGGATATACTTTCTTATATTTTATATTATACTCGATAAAAATCGAAAATATTTTTTTTAAAATGATGGTAACATATGTTTTTTTAAATTTTGTTGTCTAGAAAAAGAAAACATATATATATAATTGATTTATGAAGAAAATAATAATAGTACTCTAATTAAAAAAGATAATTTATTTGTCTACAAAGAAATAGAATTTCAGTATTTCATATTAATATAAATAATAACACAGTTAAAATAATTGGAAAACAAATCTAAATTTCATTCATAAAAATTTAACTTTGCATAGGTCACCAAAAATTATGTATGAGGTACGAGGCTGGTCGATCCTCGTACAAACGGCAACACTGCTCTTAGGATCATCGGGTGACGATCGGTTTACCGTTTTATTTTATATATTCTTTTATAAAATATTTAACCAGTTTACAGTGTAGTTAACTGGGGTAATTGATTCACACCACGATATTACATTCTACCTTTCAGTAAAAAAACTTTGTCTTGGTTGTTTCAATCTAGATTGTGTACTGAGCAGACTTTTTTTTTTTAACAACAAGAAATTTTAAAAGTATCAGAGTTAAGCTTTGAGGATTATCTATTGTTTTTAATTGAAAACAAAAACGAGGAAATATGCGGGCCCAAATGTTCATGTCATTTATGTTGTTTTTAACTTTTTTTTCTCATTGAATAATTTTCTTAATCACGTGATGTTCTTGTTGTTATACCTCAAATGTTATTCGCTCGTTGCCAATTTATTTATATAATTGGCGATTTAAAAATTATAGCAAAAGAAAGGATTATCCAATGGAAATTATGGTCATTCAATAACCAACATTGATATCTTCGACTGAAAGCACAAGGACATTTCACTTTTTCAGCGTGAAATAGTGTCTTGTAGGTGAACTATTGTTATACAGATACTCATATGTCCTAATGTGAAGTAAAACTTCCTTCCCTTCTTCCCTCTCCCCCTCTACAACTTGAAATCCGTGAATTAGAGCCAAAACTAGGTCTAACCTTAAAATTACTAGAAGCTTGTAAAATCTAGATACAAATTCTAAAAATCAATAATTAACTAGTGGTTTAAATAAATAGATTTATCCCATTTTATCTTTTGCAAGAACTTGCAGCTTTCAAACTTCTTAAGATCGTACTGCAAAAGTGCTTAAGGACATAATCAGAGTTCACCATACTATGGCCCACGGACCGGATTCGCCCCTGGAAAGTTTCTTTGATTACATGGTCTCGATGTGGCCCTTGAGCAAAAAAGTTGGGAGATCCCTTGATATAACATTTGTTGTGCTGCAGCTATCCATAAGAAGCATCCATCACTTCACTCCCCCGAACCTTTTTTTTTTAATTGTTTGCTTCCGCTATGTTACGTCATGTTATTATCATCAACTTGGTAAAAGAGTAGGGTGTCTATCAATATATCCGTTTTCTTTCAATGCAAAATACCCTTCTATGATAATTACAGCGATTTGAACATTCCTATCTGGAGGATTGTCCAGAACAGTTTCTCCTTAAAGTACTTCCGTAGTCCCACTAGCCGGTTATTTTATATCAGGTGCGATGGCCGGCCTATTGCTATCAACTGGCCAAGGCCACCTGCCTGTCGTGGGCAGCCGTTGTGACGTCACTCGTTAGTGGTCTCAATAGCTCCATTTGGAATGGTCTAATTTTCTCGCCGGCGATTTCATGCTCCGTTAGCTTCATCTCAGTCATGAATGATATTCAGAATCAATTATTAATAAATTTCTCTGTAGTTCCTACCTAAAACTAATTGGTTCTTGCATTTACTTTATTTTATTTTTTTTAATTTTCAAGAATAAAACAAAACAATTTGCATTATTTGTAACTGTTGATTTAAATATAAATTCAGCCTTGAAAGCAAACAGATCTTTTAATTTAAATATCGAGTTATCCATTAAAAATCTGTTATAACATCAACTCCCTGAAGTTTTAGCATCAACAATCTCAAAAACTTCGGTGAAATAAATTACCTTACTAAATAAATTATTAAGCAGTGTTTTCACATGAAAACTCATTAATTATTCATAGCTTTTTATGTTAATAACAAATTCTTTAAGCGAAATAGGAATAACTTATTGTTTAATTTAATAGTGCTGATCTATTAACATGAAAAAAATGTATTAATCAGTATATTTCATACGTGTGACTATCTTCTGTGTCATATTTTTATTTCTACTTATTACAGTGGTTATTGTTGGCACGGGCGGATCTACGGGGGAGGAGGGGGAGGGAGCTTTCGGGCTGAAGCCCCCTCCCCAAAATGGTAAAATATAACCATGTTTTATCGAAAAAAATATTTAAAAAGTATCTCTTAAAGTATTATTGTTCGTGTAATTACATTTAAAAGGGCTTTAGGAATCACTTAAACACCATTTCATACAGGTAGTTAGTTTCTTTATTTTTTCCAAAGTAATTATCGTTATTTTTATGAAAAAAAAACTTTCAGGCTGAAGCTCCTCCCCTCCAAAAATCAAATCCTGGATCTGCTAGTGATTGTTGGATATTTTTGTCCTTTGTGTTATTATCTCTTTCCTAAAAGGTTATTGATATCAAAAAAAAAAATCATTAACTTTGATAACAAAAATCTTTTCTTTATGAATTTAATCAATATGATAAATTGCTCTTTGTTATCTTGTACCTTTACGAGATTTACTCTTATATACAAGTAGCTCTTAAAAGATATTCCCTTGGTGATCATGATATACAAGATACTTGTAGATTGTCAATGCAACAAGTTCATACTAATAGGATTGTATTTTTTTCTGTCTTGCAAAGTACTATCTTGGTGGCTTTTGATGCTCGATTAAAAATGGATCACTTTCCTGTCGAATTAAACAAATGCTGATTCAGTGATTTTAAAAGTAATAGCATTTTTATTAATTTGATAATAACAATTTTTTGTTCATTTCCTTTGTTGGTTATCAGAATTGTTCTCCTCAAATATTTTACATTTAAGCCCCACCATGTTGATTGACCCCTTGGTAAAGAACTACTTTCAGGCACACTATCCTTTCGAACATAATGGATTTATATAAAAAAATATCACCACAGATGCCTGCCATTTTTTCTTTCCTACCTCGCTTTTCTATTTTTTTCAGGGTCAGGAGAGAGGGCAGGAGATTAATGCCAGAGTTAAAAACGCCTGACACCGGGGCTCGAATTCGTAATTTAAATAAATCAGTTTATCACAGTTAGCCTCTATGCCAATCATCTCTCCAAGTGGTATTGACTTTTTTTTTGTTTTAGGTCCTCCCCTTTCTCACCTCTTAGGCTATATGGGGAGGAGAGGGGATTTCCTGGGCCAGGTGGTGAGCGCGGGGGATTAATACCAGAGTTAAAAGCCCCTGTTGGCACTGGGGTACGAACTTGGTTTTATTTTATCTTCTATCCAGGTTGCAAGGCAACGCTGCTGTGCACACATGTTAGCCCGCTCCTATGTGGAATTGACCTGGTCAGTGGGTCCAGTAAGAGTAGATCTGCTAAAGATCAACATTGGATTGTAGGAATCATATTGGATAGTAGTTCTCCCAATCCATCAGTGTTGAGATGGTGAACCAGCTAAGGAAAGAGATGGCAAAGACTTTGGGCCAATATATGCCTTCCTTTCATGTCTGTCACGTATCCTGAATGATTTCACACTGTCATTCCTTCTCTTTTGTATTTTCTCAATCTAATGATTTTTTTTGTTTAGTTTTTTGTGTAGTGTAATAATTACAACTGAAAAAAGGTCACGGAAGCTGTTTTCTTTGGGTTATTTATTCCTGTTATTTATTTTTTTAAATCAGAAAGATTAACTAGATTAAAATGTTTCATATTTCTTTGAACTGTTACAGAGTGGAAGTAAGAAATCAGATCCAGTTGGACCACATCAGCTACCTGGCGAAAAGAGGTATGCCATTTTCTTTTTTGAAATGCATTTTTTTTAACACACTCTATGAGTCTTTAATTTAGTTATTTTATTTATTTATTTTTTTTTTTTTAGGGAATTTTCAGAAGAAAACGACTTCCCTCAGTACCAGCAATCAACCCCCGTCAAGCACTTGGACTGTGATACCGGTATGTATATTTTATAAGTTTTTAAATATAGCATGAGGTATGCATTGCATTGCTTGTGGCTGTTTGATTAATATGTAATGTGTATGTGTGTTGTGTTTTTGTTACCATCATATTGTGGGCATTTTCACCTGTTTTGAAATCCTTTGGTAACTATATTCTTTGTCTTGTGGAAAAACTATTTTCCTTATGAGAAATATTTACTCTGTTCCAAAATTGCTTATATTTTTATATTTATAATTCTATATTTTTTATAAATCAAGAATGTTGTTATTCTTTTTTTTGCCACTAAGATTTTTAGACAAAATCCTATTTTGCCAGAAATTTAGTATTAAAAGCTATTCTCTCATAGTAATAATAATGTATATTTATTAACTTTTTAAGTTGTGTTGTTAAAATTTATGTGTTAAACTAGATAGATTTGTTGAATTTACAATTATTAACATTCTATTTTTATATATGTCCCAAGAACAACATTTACATTTAGTTATTTTGAAAATAGACTAGAAACAGTGTACATAAAAAATAAATAAATAAACAAAAATAATTGCATTTAATTTTACTGTTAGTTATTGGAACTTCTTTTACCCTATTATATTTATTATCAAGATTTCTATATATTTTTTAAAAATTACCTAGTGAGTTTTTATGTTTTTAAGCCCTTATATTTGTTACAAATATTAATACTCATAAGATTCCTTTTTCAAATTGATTGTAAAAATTTATTTAATATTTTCTATTGTGTTATGCTTTAACAGATTATTTATATGTTTCCCTTGTCTTGATCACTTGTTAAATGTATAATGTCCAAATTTGTGTGAATCTTTATGCCACCATCTTTCTGAAAAATATATTATGTTACTGTATTGATTTCGAATGTGAAATGGGCATTTCAATTTTTTATTATTTTTTTTAACTCTCATCATTAATCATATCATTATACTTAATTATGCAAAATATTTTTTTTTTAAATTTAGGTATATAGTTTGTATGATCAAATTCTTACTCTGTTCTTTCCTTCATTTGAATTTGTTGTCAATGTTATAAATTATCCTTGGTAGCCTAGGTTCGGTGTTTGTATGGCCACAGGAAATAACTGGTTAATGCGAAATATAGTCCTTATGAGTTATGTATATTGTGGTCATCTTCCAAGCATTCTATTCATTGTGAATAAGTTGGTAAATCACAACTCTCTTTTATTATTCGTAAAGATTTAGAGCTGTGAGTTGCAAACTTGTTCACAATATACAGAAGACTTAAGATCATCTCAGTAAACGTTATTCTTAAGGACTATTTTTTGACTTAAGACTTATTACCTGTGAACATAGATTTTATTTTTTAACTTTAATTGTTGCAATATGTTTTAGTAGTTCTAATGATATTTTGCTACTATATAAAATAATAAAACTGTATCATATTAGTTTTATTTGATGTAAATCACATCAAATCAGGAAAACTTTAATACAAATATGGCATTTTACCAAATAATTAAAATGAATCTAAGGCACTAAGATAATCACAAAACAATTTATTTGTTTAATAATTTCTTACATTTTGCTATCTAATGTAATAATAAGACTTATGATATTTCAACTGCTATATTGTGACAAAATTATCATGTGTGTTAAGTAGAGAAAACTTCAAAAACTGTTTTCTTACAAAAAACATTAATTGTATCATCACTCAATTTTTAGTAGTTCTCAGAATAATTTTGATACCACATAGAATAATAACACTTGGCATTTTACTTGATTTTTATAGAAACAAATTATTTAAATTAGATTAACTTGATAAATGGCTTATTCTGAAAGTATTAAATAAATAAATTTTAATATTAGATCTAATAAATGTATTAATATATCTTTTGAAGTATTAAAATTATTTATAATTTAATGCTCAGAATTTCACTCTGCTTCATGGATGGGAATTATGGTCGGTCTCAGCACTGGAAAGAATAATATACCCAAATAAAGATCTGTTCACATAGTAAAGCTAATCATTCCTCAATGTGAAACACTGCCCTTTATTTGATATATATATATATATATATATATATATATATATTATATATATATATATATATATATATATATATATATATATATATATAGATATTGTTAATGTCGAAACTGACTATAAAGTTAGCAAAGAGCAAAGTCGATCACAAAAAAAAAATGTCGAAAGCTGCATCATCATTGGTGGGTTAAGTTAGTAATTTAGTTAATCCTAGTTTAATCACTATCAATTGGATTGATTTAATAAGTCAGTTTTGCTTTTTATTAAGAAAGCGAATATTTGTAAATTTATATTAATGATATATGTATGTTATAAAATACATATATTATTTAAGGTCACAGTGTTTTCGTTTGTGATATATATGTAAAATATACACATATCATTAAAGAATATCTACAAAAAATTAACTTACTGGAGAAAAAATACAACTGTCTTTGTTATTCTATCATTCTAATCCCCTTAACGAAGAATTGCTGGGGTATGGGTGTGAAATGGTTAATGTGAATACATATAACATATAGCCTGATCTTTAAATTTTGGTGGGATTCTCTTTTAAAACATTTTAAGTGAACAATTTTTCTTTATAAATTAAAAAAATTCTAATATGATTAATTAATAGTTGCACATCTATATATGTATGTATATATATAAGTGTATGTGTATACACACATATATAAAAGTATATGTATGTATTTTTTTTTCCCGAGTATGCAATTCATTTGCTCTATGTTCTGCTTCCATTCAACCTTTCATCAGCTCTTCTTGTTGATCTCCTAAATCCAGTTTTCTTGCATTGGTTGGATCTTTTTCTCACACTTTAGGATTAATTACTTGGGTGATAAGATGATTTTTAATTATCTCTGCTATTAAATAAAGTGCTTTCATATAAATTTATTTGTCTCTTATTCTATGAACCAAAGTTCACTTTATGAACATTTCAAATAAATATTATGACATTAATATTTATTAAAAATATTCTAACACATTAAGACATTTTGTCAATTGAATGCGACATCACACTACAAATCGCCAAAGCTACAATATAGTTCATTGGGGCTTTACCTTTCTGGTAAAACATTACATGGTTTTAGTGCTATTAGTGACATTTGGTTACAATACATTAGACGTGTTTTCATGTGAAATTGAAAAGGATTTAACTTACGATGTTCTGTAAAATATCTAGAGGATGGATTATAAAAAAAATAGTAAATTTAGTTCACAAAATATCACACCATAGATACATTACAACATGAGAAATATGAATTCTGAAGTTGTGGTATAAAGTAATAGTGGAAATGATGTTGCCAAGTAATTAGATAATTAAGTTTCTAAAAATTATTCACAAACTCACACTCACACATATATTGTTCTCATCTAATTTTATTTAAATATGAATTGAATTAAAATAACAATTTTATTTATTATTGTAAATTTATTGGACTACTGAGGGCTAATTGGCTCATAAACTGTGAATTCTAAGGATCAAACAAAATACACTTCATACTCTACTTAATAAATAAAACATTTATGAACAAAATAAAATTGAATTTATGTATATATATAAAATCTATTATTATAAATATATGTATAAGATACTGTTCAATTGGACTGTTTTTATGGTATCTCCGAATGTAGGTCGCTCCATCAAATAAAAATGGTCCTCATCCGGTATATCTTTTCCAATATTTTTTGAGTTTTAATAATCGCTAAATAAAAATCATTACTATATATATATATATATATATATACAGGGTAGCCCATACATGCTAAGGCGCTTGCAATAGGTTATCAAAGCTAAGCAACATAGAGTGTGGTTAGTACTTGGATGGGTGACCGTCCACCAGGGAAAGTCATGCTGCCCGGGACTCTTCCCCTCCCCCAATACTTGAGGCCTATCAGCCTACTAGAGGCACCTATCCCTTGTACTTGAATAGGGATGAGGTTCACCAGGATGTCAGTAGTTCCTCCTGAGGTTTGGCCCATGGATGATCTATGGGGAAAGAAAATAGGTCCTTGTGCTCCTCCTACGTCTGAGCAGCTATAATCCGTGGATCTAGGCCGATTTGTCAGTGTCCTTGAACCGGAGTGAGTCAGTAGGAAGAATATTGCCACATTGTCCAAAGGGATAGGCTATGGAGTGTCAGGCCGCTGCACCATAGAGACTATGGTTTGTAGCAATGTGAGGTTAGGTGACCCCCTCCAGGCTTCCGCAAGCAATATACATCTGTAAGGAGCCCACATCTCATCCGGCCAAAGATCTTCCTGGTGTATTGCGCTATCTGAAAAAAAAAATATACTAAAGTATATATATATACTAAAGTATACTAATATATATACTAAAGTTTTTATGTTTAAAAATTCTTCTATATCGATTATTTTCATAATTCATAATAATCTTATATTAATACTTTATTTTTCAATTAATATTTACATAATATCTTACGGCAATGAATTAATGACTGTTATCAATTGTATATAATGGTAGCCAAATGTTACTAGATGCTGCTTTTAGTTCTTAGTAACAATAAAACTATGTAGTATGTTTTATATATGAGTTAATGGACAGAAGGCCTAATTGGAAAATGCATATATACATTTTTTTGTGTGGGATATGAGATTGATTTTCTCCTGGGATATGTTAGTTATTTGCTAAATTGCTTTTCTTTAAATGCTATGTAAAATCCATCTGAGCACATTGGATGTCAGCAATCAATGTTCAATGGGGTTATTAAGTTTTGTTCTTTGATTGACTGACAACCTCAAATATAAGTATTAATTATATAGAAATTACAATCTGATCTTGTTATTATTACTCTATAGCTTTATTATTGAATGAACTGAGATCAGAATGAAGACTAGATTAACAGGATTCTTTTCTGAGATCAACCATTAAAATTATAATTATTTGCAGAACTTTTTTTATTTATATTTGTCAATAAATAATGCATTAGTTTTTTGTCATTCTCTGTTTGGTTTTGGTATAGTCTTAGTGCATATTCATCCTCTCATCTTGTTTATCTTTTCTCATAGAAAGATTAGTTTTGTATTTTGTAATTTTTATTTTTTTAATCTATGGTCCCCCCTGGTCATTTTAGAGGCTTCAGTTGAATCAAATGATAGGAAATACAGTCATTATGTTAATTTTTACCATTATTATTTGGAATTTATATGCATTATTTGAGGTTTGCATGATGTATTTAGTAAGTTTCTATAATTGCTCTTTCTAGTAGTTGCTTTTTGCATGTTTTTTACTTTTATAATTTTATTTCTTTAATTGAAATAATCTTTTTATTTTGATTGAACATTTGATTTTATTTACACATTTTTGTTTGTTTTTAACTTCAACTTTTTTTTTTCTTTAATTCAAATAATAAAAAAAATCTTTTGTTTTAACATTAATTTTATTATCTCCTTTGAGGTCTTAGTGTCAGTGAGAATGGTCCTAATAGTTGGCTTCCAGATCTTAGTAGATGTAATATATTAGGAAGGTTTCCTTGTAGTTTTGCACGAAATTGTTTCTCCTCGTAGAGATATTCTGGTCATCAATCAGAGACCATGCTCCGTGATACTTGGATCTCAGGTAGGGGCCATGTCTCGTTTAGTTAGTGAGACAATTCTGATGCTGTTCACAGAGTCAGATACAACTGCAGAATATGAGAGTGCTGGAGAAGCATCTCCATGGGAAAAGCCGTCGAACGTTAGTGCTCTTGCTGACTACCTGGCAGGAGTACATCTATCGACGCCTGATAAAATTCATACTGAGCTTAACTATTTCCCATTTTCACCAATTTCAGCAGAAGATGAATGTGATGATGAAGTCACCGCAATCATATCTAACGGGTCTCAATCCTCATCTCACAGTTTGTCATTTCATGAAAGGGAAGAAATATCTGTTTCTACACAGGATAAAACAGTGTCACATGAGGCTAATACATCTTTTAGTGACGTAGATCCGGAAGAATTCAAAAATTCGGTGCCCTGTAAACGTCATAGTGAAACAAATGTTTCTTCTTTCTTCCATTCAGAAAGCTTACAGTTCAGTGAGGAAGCTTTTGGTAGAGGTGAGGCCAATGTTGAAACTGAAATGAGCTGTTCTATTGAAGAAAATAAACTTAAAACTCCGCCTCCTTCTTTAAATGAGAGTGCAGAAATTACTTCATCAGTGTTAACGACGGTTGAGAACTTGTGTGATTCTGTAAACTATAAAATCGCCACTTCTTCTGGAGCAATTTCTCCAAAACGATATGCTACTTTAAATTCCAGTAGTTCTGAAAGTAATGCAGTAGATCCTGTCACTTCGTTCGCTGATAATGAGAGAAAATTTATTGAACAATCTTATTCAGCTACCTATTTTTCATCCACCAACAAATCTCCTGTCCCTGTGTTTTTGGAAAAAGATGCCACATCTCTCGATTCTTTAGAAGATGATGTTACTGTCATTTCTGAAGTGGAATCTTCATCAAATGTTTTACAAACCAGCCATATAAACGATTATGTTACTACTACAAAACATAAAATTGATACAATCTTTACTTCAAATAAAGAAGTAGTATCAAATGTTATTTGTGAAACAAAGCAACAAATTGATAATATATTTAAGCGTAAAAGCCCAATTAAAGAGTTTGCTTCTAATGTATCACATGTTATTGATAGTATTAAGAATCTAAATACATCAGATTCCGATTCGTCTCCTCAGAAGAATGTGCTCATGGAAAAGATATCATCACCTATTTCATCTGCTAAGCAAAAAATTGATAGTCTTTTTTCACCTAAGAAGGTCATGGATAAAGAAATATTTGAAAAGACCTCAGTATCAGGAATTTCTGTTGTAAATGATGAACTATGTGGAAAAGAATTTAAAAAAGACAATAATAAAACAAATCAAGGTAATAGCTCCCTTAATACAGTTATTGTTGAACATCTCAATGTTGACACTTCAGTATCTGGTTTAAGTGTGATCCCACTAAAAACATATTCTGAAAGCCATGAAGTTATTGAGACTTCTAAGCAGCAAATAGATAAAATATTTAAATCATTGTCTCCAGCAAAAGTTACTGCACAAAGTGATGTGCTGGAACTCAGCAATTCAACCATGTCGACAGATCTAGAGCTGGACGATGAAATATATATATCATCTCTTTCGACTAGCGAACCAGGCTTTGAACACACAAATTCTAAACAATCTTCTAAAGCACAATTTTCTGTGGATAAACATGTAAGATCTAATGATGTTATTGTCAGTGATACACAAAAAACAGAAATCGATCAGCTTGCTATTTCATCTTCTAAAGAAGAATCTGGATCACCCCTGATTCTCCATGAGGATGACAAAAGCACTGTGTCAGAAAATCTCAATGAAACATGTAAAATTTCTGAAGTCACTCAGTCTGTCAATTTGAAATCAGAAGTTGAAGATTGTGCAAGCAGTGATTTAGTATCTAATAGACATTTTACTGATAGTACTAGTGATGAAGTATTGAATCAAACCACAACTGATGAAGTCGGTGGTACAACACACCAAGAAGATATTGTAGTTCAAGGAGGCGATGAAAAAAGTGCTCATGATGTTGATGAACAAGGTTCAATTTCCCAGAATAGCATTAAATTTGATGAACAACATTTGAGTGATTACCAGTCATCATTTGAAGTTTTCAAGAAGGATGTGCTGGATGCAAGCCGTTCTTTTCATATTATTTCTCCTAAGAAAGAAAGTTTTAATATATCTTTAAGTACTATTCTTGATCAAAAAGAAGAAGTCATCTCTTCTGAATTCATTACAGAAACACCAACAAACATTACAGCTAATGACTCGATCATTTCAAATGTGTCTGAAAATAACTGCCAGATGACTAATAGCTCTATTGACACTATAAATTCTCAGCTAGAAACATTATCAATTGCTCCTAATCTTGACCAGTCAGTTTTGAAGATGGAACATGAAGAATCAGTAGCTGCTGACTCTCAAAATATTGGCCATGTCAATATTTCTTCTCTTGATTTATCTGAAGTAACTGATGTTAAAATTATTAGTGCTAATGACAGCATTCCAGTGTTCCCACTAGAATCTAAAGAGAATTTTGAATTACAGGTTTCTACAGAAAATGTAGGCAGCTCTGTTACTATAGATCCAAAAGAAATTGATGATGTTGCAGAACTGCACAGTGCAATCGCTGAAGAAGTCATTGATAATAAAATAATTAGCGAGGGTCCTAATGATAGTTATGATTGTGATTCTCATTTGAAATCTGAGCAAGAAGCATTAGATGTCAATGATGTTGATCAAGTTACTTTAATAAAAGAAGTTGAAGATTTTGTTGTTGTGGATGTTGCTGAACTAGAAAAGGATGTTTCCGTCCTCATTTCTCCTAAAAAGTTTTCACCAGATTTTAAAAAGAATGATGTTTTAGAAATTTCACATGCGTCAGGTAAATTTGATGGAGACAAAAGAGTAGATGAAGCAAAGGGAAACATACAACATACTGTTTCAGTATCGAGTTCGGTTGAAACTGTTGAAAATCAGATTCAAGTGCAGCTTCCATCTCCTCTTCAAGAATTAATAAAAGATAATGTTGAAGTTGTTGACACTGAAGTTACAATTACTGATGTGAATAAACAAATTAGTGATGAACATATTGAGAAGAATGATGTTGAACCAGTCATAAACATTCCTGAACGTGGTTCAGTAGCCGATGTGATTAATATTCACGAAAATGTAATAAGCAGTTCTCTGGTAGTTTCTTCTGTTGAAGTGAAAAATGATATGTCAAATAGTGTCTCTGGTATGGATCAATTAAACTTCCAATCGCAAGAGGTAATGTCTCTAAATGTTGAATTAGAAAAAAAAGCTGAGCCTATGAGCAATATTATTGAAAATAATTTGACCACTGATTTGGTTGTTGAAAGAGAGATTATGGATGTAAGTGTTCATACCGAAGAAAAACTTGCTGATATGAAGGTAACAGAAGTTAATGAAAATATTTCTGTTATGAATAAGGATATTGATTTTAGTAAAAAAATTGACGATTCTGTATTTATACAGAATGATAAGGAGGAACGACGATCTAATCCTGTTAACTTGCATACTTCTGAGGGATGCAATATGGATATAGCATCAGAAAAAACAACGGTTGTTTCCCATATTAATACTTTGCAAAATGATGAGCTTATTAATGTAAATGTAAATACAATCCTAAAGTCTCCCATTAAAGAAGAATCAATCGAAAAAACTCATGATTTTCTGTCCAAAGAAATTCAATCAGAATTGAAACAAGATGAAACATATCCGGAGGACAGTGCAAGGCTTGAAGAAGAAAAATGTACAGTCTCTGAAATCATTAGTAAACAACCGATAGAGCAATGTTCATCTAAAATCCCCATTGAAGATGAACAAATTATCGTGAAGCAAGAGTATTCAAATACTAATGAAACTTCCGTGAAGAATGTCATTATAGAGAATGCTGTGGTCAATGAATCAGTTGTAGTCAGTAGTAATGAAGTGAACAAACCAACCACAAAAGACAGAAGAAAGTCTCCTCCAGCTACAGAAGTTATAGATGATTTATTCAATGACATTTTCCAGCATGGTAAAGATCAGATGTGTAGAGTAATCACCAAGCATTCTGAGAATAAACAGAGTAAATCTGATGTATCAGTCACTCAGGAAGGAGCTCATCAAATTGTTGAACAGAACTCTAACACAACTAGTTTTATTTCTAAGTCTACTAGAGATGATTCCGAATTTTTGAAAAATACTGGATTTTCAAGTGAACATGCTTTTTCGGACAAAGTAAAAACCCCTCCTTTTGCCTGCTCTGTACCTAGTGACAGTATAGTGTTTGGATCACCATCGGAATATTCCTTGAGCCTATCACCAATTGATTCCTTTGCAGCAGGCACTAAATGCGATTTACCTGAAAGTTCCCCCAATGATATTTCTGCTGGTAACAGTACTTCAACAGTTTTCTGTACTAAAACGAATGCATCTTCTGCTGAAATAGGAATGGGATTTAAAAGTTCATCTGAAAGCTTAGAAATTATAAAAAGTGATCTTTCAAAGCAAAATAATGAATTATCGCCATCACTGCAGACTACCTTACAAATTCAAGGTAAATAATGATTTAATTTTTGAATTTTTTTTTCCTTTTGTTCTATAATTTTGTTTGAATCAATAAAGAATTTAATAAAATGGTTTCTTAAAATCCAATACTTTTAAATTTCAGTTCTTAAAAATGAACATTGCCATTGTGATAACAATTGGTATGTCTTAAATAAACTTTTATAAAAAGTTTTGTTGTGTATTATTATTGTCTTAACGTATTCAGTTTTTTATCTAGATAACTAATTTAATAATTATATTAAATTTGATAAAGAGCATTGTTAAGGTTTTTATTTGAATTTTATTCACAAAAAGGTGAAAGCTTTTAAAATGGATTATTCTGGTTAAGATCATTGAATGGAGCAGATTAATATTATAAAAATGCATTATATAACTTCAAAGAACTAAACCCCATATAAGGATAAAAGTAGAATTATCATCCTTAATTAAAAAAATACGTTTTTCTCTGGTTTTATCAGCACATGTTTCAATTTATAGTAGTATGTTAATTATAATTTGTAAATTTAAATTAAATTGATTACGATAGTTGATTTCAAAACCAAAATCTGTTTTTTTATTTATTAATTATTTTTATTATCTTTCTTGAATTTCCCTATCTTCATGGTGAATTATGATGACAAACTATAGGCACAATAAACCTTTTAAAAACATTAACAAACAATTAAATATAACAAAAAACTTGTGAGAATTTGATTTCGTTTACACACTGGTTTTTATTTAGTTTTTTAATTTATATTGTGTTTTTTTTTTTAATTTGGTATTATTTAATATAATTTTATTCTGAAATTTTATATGAAAAAAAAATTGTTTTTATACGTATTGGTCCCTTATTTGTAATTCTATTGGATAACACAAATGTGCCTATTTGAGAAAAGTATTGTGGTAATTGAAAAGTTTTTATCTATTTATATATCTTTTTTAAAAAAATAGCAGCAGTTACAATTTGGTATCGTACGCTTCATAACTTATTTTTTAGTTTTAATGGAATTAATTGCTCTTAAAAAAAAACTTGACACTGTTGAGGAATGTTATAAGCTTATTATTAAACTAGTTTCATCTTTAAATAACATTTTTCTATGAAATAATCCTCACAAGTTCCAAATTTTGTTGTTTATTAAGTGTTAATTTTATTTATTTTTTAAATAGCTGGTAACGAAAAAACTGTATTTCAGGACCATAAAATAAGTTTGTTTCGTTATTGATTCTATTGTTGGTATAAAGATTTATTGAGGGAATGTGTCAGTAACACTTTTCTTTCTTATAAGGATGAAACTAAATTGTCTGGAATTTCAGTCAAAATTTTTTTAATCAGTTAGCCGACGTTTTGACCCAAACATGTGGGTCATCATCAGGGCTATGGTTTGGAAGTCGAGACAAGAACTTTTCTTTGTTATGTTTCTATATTTTTTACTTTCACTTACCTATATATAAAATATATAATAAAGGAAACTATTGTGATCGTGAAAATATTTTTTTAGTGGAAATACACGTTTTGAAGTCTCCTGAGTACAAATAACTAAGTCCCGCAAAATGGTCTGTGTGTGTTAATAGTCTAGCTCAAAAACGAAAAGTCGTACAAAAGTGACATTGCATATTTAAGGTTTTTATATGCTACGGATGTTACAGTAACTTTTTCATCAAAATCGACTGACCAGGAGTGGCACTTTATATCATGGGCTAAACACATTTTTACAATTTTTTCGGAAACGGCTCTAACAATTTTGATTAAATTCATTATATCAGTGTAAAATTAAGTAGTTTTAAATAAAATGTAGTTTTTATTCAAATTGATGTTCTCTAACAGGGCTTAAATGGCTAATTTTCAATATTAGCTTCCTCTAAAGTATCTTTAATTTTTTTTTTTTTTTGAAACAATTGACTATTTCACATTAATCTCTAATATAGAAGATAGTTGAATATAAAATATCAAAAAAATTTATGATTAACTAAAGGAGAAATAAAAAATCGTAACGGAGAATAGTTGTAATTGATCGCACCTGAGCTCTCCCGAAAGATTATAACAGACTTCCATACGTAACATGAATTTAATATAATACGGACTCTGACAATAATTACATAAATATAAATATGCGTTTTTCATAAATGCTGTTGTTGGTATTATTTAATATTTAATTGTATAGATTACACCAATATAAATACTAAAACTTGTATATATAAGGGTTCTTATACAAATAAAAATACCCACAATGAAATATAAATAAATTTAGCATCTATAATTTTTACTTTCACTTCTCCTTTGTCTGAAAATACTTATTTCTGCTAGAGGTTGGTAAGTGAAAGCTGTGTGATGCGCGCACCGCACCAGATTTTTTTCTATTATCACTGGACTATTTAAGATATTAGCCTCCTCAATAGCCTTTCTTTTTTTAATTTATCCTCAAACTCTTTTTTCAAAATTATATGTATCCAACAATCACTCTTACATTACAGTATAATTAGAAGTTAATTAAAACTTGTTGAATTTAAGGAATATTGGTATATTGTGGTCTTTAAGAGTATTTTATCTGCTAATGTGATCTTTCTTATGAAAAATAAAATGACCTTTATTGTTGAGAGAAATAGTTAGCTCGATTAAACGCATAATAGTAATAACAAACCACAAACAAATGATTAAAAATAGTTAAAGGCATTCTTTTCTGAAATTAATAATTTAACTTTCTTTTTTTTTAATCCACTGATTTAATCTTGTACTTGAATGAATAGTAATACAGCACATTTAGTTAGATTAAAATAATAAAGTATACATCTTTGAAATTAATGATTCATTCTCAGTTAATCAAAAAGCCTCTTGAGAATGATTTGAGCAATGAAGTACGTACAGCACATTTATCTTAAGATCTTGATTGACCATGTTTTTGTTTCATCACCTTGGCCTACCCTAGCAGTTCGTATTCTCCATGTTCTAATGATTGGTACAGTGAACTCTTCTGTTATCTTCTAAACCGGGGTAATTTATGGCATGACCTCCGCCCTTACGTTTGTTTACAAGCTCTCATGATCTTAATAATTAAGTAAAATATCCTTCAAATGAGCCTTTGGTATCTCAATGCTGTTTTTCTTTTATTATAAATTTAAATATTTTGTTCCCATGAGTTTATTGGTTTGTTTGGTTTTTACTACGAGCCCAGTCTTTTTATTGTTATTATTTTAAATTTCTAAATACGACCAAAACCACAAATTTTGTTTTCTTGTAAAAATTGAACATGGTGTTAAAAAAAGAAAAGGAAAAAAAAATTATTGAAACATATTTCAACAAATAAACTGATAAACATATATAGATCTGATATTTGAACCATTTTGATAGGAATTACATCTTATATTAATCTAAAAAAAATATTTTCAATTTCTTTATATAGAATATATTCATATGAAATTGCTGCACTTCTGATCTCTAGGTGTTCCTAACATGCGTTGAACTGTAATATTATATTAAGTTTTATCTATTTATAATTCTACAGGAAGATCAAATAATTTTCATTTTTGCACAACGTATCTAAGTATTTAATGTCCACAATTCATAGCTAGGTAACAATTTTATTTAAACAATACAAATATTACATGTTATTTCAATTGAATAAATTAAACATATCGAGTATGGTTAAAATTATATTTATTTAGTATGGTTCTACGACCCTTTGCCACAACCCATGGTGTCTCTAACAGTCATCTGCCTTGTGTCACTATTCTGTGTGGTAACTATCCAGTAATTACCAATCTCAAAACTTCTTATACACCAAATGCAAAGTATATTAATAACTTAATTTTTTATTACAATTATGAATAGGATATTAATCTTAGAGTATAAAAGGTAAATTATCTCATAGATCTATATTCCTTAAAACATATTTGAAACCATCTGTGCCTTTATATATGATGTTGCAATTAATTCAAAAGTAATTTATATTTTCAACATTTCACTGCTTAATAAAAGTGCTTTGTTCTGCTTCGCACCTCTGCCTTTAATTATTAAAATACCTCACATTACTTTTTACATCAAAATACTAGTGTATGTGAATTTATTTATCATATTAAAATAATTTGAGTACAAAATATTTCTACTATTCATAATAATGATATTTAGATGAAGAAATATGGTCTGGTTTTACTTAGTTATTGTATCCACTTCAAAAAATTCAAGTAGATACTGGAAAAATATCTCCATATTTTTTTATTATAGGACTATAGTATGCATACATTTTTGCATTTTCTTCCTTAATTCCTTGCTCTTAATTCATATTTCTTGTCTTTCTGATTAATTTTGGTCTTAGCCATTGTTATAGAGGTTTAAAAGTTTCCAAGTTTTTGTGTTTCCATTAAATCTTATTGTTATTAATATAATTCCTATTGTATGATGTAGGTACATATAATTATCTAAATGTTTATTATTGATTAAATATGATTGATTCATCTTATTATTTAATGGATTGATAATGGTGTTTATCGTGGTTATATAAATTATAATGGTGGTGGTAAAAGTTTTCAATGCTGAATAGAAATTTTTGAATTTTGTTATGTTATTAATTTTCTTTAGATTTTTTATTAAATTTGATGAATACATACTGGATTAGTGTATTTGTTTAACCATTGTGATGGGATCTATTTCTTTGGAGTGTTTAGTGCTACATTTGTTCTATTTGAAATTGTTCATTTACTGAGGTGTTGTGTTGTTTTGTTTGCATTTATAGAATGAAAGAATAAAACAGTTTTAATATATAAAATAGTGAAGTCTAAATAATCTGAAAATCTCCATATTCCAAAATGGAAATTATAGAATATTCTTTAAAGTCATAAATAATTAATTTTATAATAAATCCAAAATAATACCAAGTAATATGAAGTATATTTCTAAAAATTACTTGTCAGAAAATGTAGTTAGTTACTAATAACCTATTTTGGTTTGAACATTTTTTAAATTTGTCTAAGAAAAGAATACCTTTTTTCTCTTGTAGCCAAATTACTCCACCACCATAAAAATGCTGGAGTCGTGGCGTATTATTGGCATGTGATTCACCTTTACCTTAGTTTAGATGTTCCCGAGATTTTTTTCAAAATCTTAGATCTGCTGATCGTCAAAATTTTTTAGTCATGGTCATTGGCTGATATATCATACATCATTTTCATTTTAATCCCTTGGCCAGGAATATTTATTCATAATATAAAATCAAGCAGGAATCTTTTCTGCTGGTTCTATCTTGCCTAAAAAAGTTAGACACAGCCTAAGTTTGTTCCTGGATTTTTTAAACAAACCTCAAATATTTATATAGCCCTTAAAATAAACTGTGTTATCACATGTAACAATATTCATGTAATTACTTAATTTAAGTTTAAGTGAAATCTAGAATGATTTTGCTTTATCGGAGACAACTACTGATCCGAAATGGTTCTGTTCCCAATTATTTCTGATTTTCAGGACTCCACTATATCATGATTCTGTTTTATTAATAGGATTTACTACCTACCTATCAGGTTTCAAGTATTTTTTGTATTGCTTATCTTGTTAAATAATTTTGATTCTTTATTTAACTTTGATCTACACTGATTTTTTTTTTGTCTCCCCTCCCTTGCCTTTTAGACTACCTGGGTTTTTTTTCTGTGCTGAGGGAGAGGGGGGGGGAATTATTCTGAGTTAAAAGTCCCACCAGGCACCGGTATATGAACTTGTAATTATTTTTCTATCCTAAACTTAGAGTTATCAGGTTGCTGGGCAACGTACGGTGCTGTGCACACACTTAAGCCCACTCGGCTACCCCCACCCTCACATTGATGTATATCAGAACAGAAATCTCAGAAATTTTTATAATAATTTTTGAAGTATTTTTAAATGCATTTGGTTTCTTGTATCTTCCTTATTCTCCCTCCGAATTTATTTCCTATTGATAATTCATGTTTAGAGTGTCTTGTTGGAAATTTTCTTTCTGTGATAAATCTTGCTAACTCTTTACTGTTGAGCGGCAGCGAGAAAGAAAGCATGTGCAATTTTCTTACCTGTTGGAAAAAGTTTTTTTCTTTGTTGATGATATTGTATTTACTTCAAAATTATTTTACTATTTCTCTAATTCTATACAAAATTATTTTATTATTTCTTTAGTTCTGTACTTTTGTTTGTCTATACTGTTATCTTTAATTTTATTTACATAACTATGGTTAATATATTGCATAAAAGCTTGGTGTAATGTACATATTCTATAATCTTCCCTTTTGCTGATGCTTTGTCTTGTGCTTCTCAGCTATCGGAAACTCACTTTCACCCTATTAATTGGTATATTCGAGGGAATTTTGAGTAGTAATTGACTTTTGATACTGTAGCATCCATTGGGAATATTTTCTATTAATGGAAGACTTGTATAATTTAGAAATTATAGTAAAGATAGTTTTGCAGGTGAAATGTCTACTAGAAATGAAAAATATTCATATACTTATAATAAGAATTCAAAAGACTTTCGAGGCTCCCCTGTCAATAAGAATTCTGAAAAAGAATACTCCAGTCTTAGTGATAACTTTAGAACATTTAAACTGGATGATTTAAGCAAGTCTACCATCGAAAGGAAGTCCTATGAGGACTTGTTGGATAGGTGTTTAGAACAGGAAAGGCTTCTTGGATTCGATGAAACCATCAAGGAGGAAGCCGATAAGCTTATTAAAGAAATTGCAAATGCATCTTCTGATGATATCTGTATGCAGGTATGTGTTGCGCTTATAAATTTTAATATTTACAATTATATTATAGCCTGGTGTTTTTAAAATTAGCTTGAAAATATTTGCATAATCATTTTTTTTTCTTTGTTAGCGCTTTTTTTATATTATAAGTAGGTAAGCTTGTTTTTTTAAGCATGATGACTTTGACTGTTTATATGTAGCTTACAGTAACTTAATAGGAATTTTTCACTTTAAAATTTTTTTTATTTTTATAAAAGGCGAAAAATTGAAATTGTATTATTACATGCCAACAGATATTTAGTTACTACATATAAATCAAAAAATTAATTTATATATTTCGATTCATTTGATTAATTCTCTACTATTTCAACTTAGATCCAGTTATATATTAAAATTGTATGTTAGTAAATAGCTAAAAGACAGAAGTTAAAATCATTATGGTTATTAAATTAAAATTAACTAAATATAAAGCTAATAACAAATTTCAAAGTTATTTTTACAACATACATTAATATTTATTGCTGTGCTCAATTACTTCTCAGCAAAAATATGTTAACTTCTCTACAGCAGGTATTTAATCATCAAATTATCATTTTTGGAAAACTATAATAATGATTAGTGTGTACATTAAACTGATGGTAAGCTATTGAGAATAGATATATATTTATGCAAGAAATAAGGAATCATTTAAACTTTCCTGTCCACTTTCAAATTGAGAAATTATTCATTGCTAAGGGTGTTATGAATTCTGTCTATTTTCTAGGCTGTTTTAAATTTAAAAGACCCTCTACTTATGTTTTATAATAATTGAAGGTTTAAAAAAAAGTGACATTTTTTATATTATCTCATTTTTTTTAAATTGAATTTTCTAAGCATATAATACATAATAAGATGGTTAAGTGTTGTTAGTTTTTAACAATTTTAAACAGTGGAGCAAAGTTAGGCGAAAACAGCTCATCCTTAACTTGACTTCAGTTCCCATTAAGAACATAAAGTTATTCATTAAAAGATTATTTCATTACTACACTTAGTCTTGTCCAGTTCTTTATGGAACTCATATTCTGTTAATAAGATTTCCTATTATATTTGCTTATTTGTTTATGCCTATTTTTATTTTGAACAAAATTGGAGAAAAATTATCGTGCTGGAATCATCAATAAGCTTGTTGAGGATAGTATCTGTGCAGATTGTTTAATACAGTGTTCTCTCAGCAACAATATTATTTTTTATTCATGTTTTATTTGAATTATAGGTATAATTCATTTTTTTGTTTTTTTCTTCGTTATATTTGTTAAATCTATTTCTTAAATTTATCCTTAAAACTTATATTATATCAAAAACTGTAATACAGCTCTCATCCCCCTTCGACTAAGGAAATATAATTGAATTGCTTAGAAAATTCAACTTAAAAAAATATATATATGAGCTGATATCCTTCTTTTTCCCAGACCTCCTTAATTTCTATCTGAAATTGACTAGAAAACATTTTTTTTTTCTGTGAAAGATTACTTTTTATTTATAATAATTAAATGCTTATATTTTTCTAGCCTGATGATTTCCCTCCCGCTAATGCCAACAGTAGCGAGGCTGGTCCAGTAACAGCTGATGAAGATCTTAATAAAGCAGATTGTAAGTATAATAAGCAATACGATAATAGGTATATAATGTTATCCATTTATTTTAATAACTTAAATATATTAAGTACAAATTAACACCTTATGGAACGTAACTTCGATGGCATGATCGTGTAATCATTAACTGGATATAACCTGTTTTTAGTAATATATATGTTTCATCTACCAATCCTTCTTTTCATGTAATTATCTTGTTATTGTCTAACTAACTTAAGTATTGTGATGTATGTCTGACAATGTTTTTGTTAACATCATTGATATTTGGATTTTTGATTGGTATATATTATATCTATTTAATTTTAGGATCTATGATTACTGTAAGCTCTCACTTTGAAAATTAAATTCTTATATTCTGTAACAAAGTATGTGTGTTTATCAAATGATAAACACAAATGGTAAAAAAAATAATTATGAATTGTATTCAGGGTTGTTTATGTCTTTAATTGATTTTGAAATTACTTGAATGTATTTATATATATTCTATTTTCTGCATTTTTTTTTTTCCTTTTTGTAGTTCGAAATCTTTAATAAATACTTTTATAAGTTTGTATTCTTATTCTGTCACTGTTAACTGAGCTTTTCTTATTGTGATATTTTAAAGCATTGTTGTTGGCAATATACAATTACAGAAATGATATAAAATATATTTTAATATTAGCTTTTTCCTAATAAATTTAGCTTAAACTATCACATTAAGCAGAGTTTATTTAATATTTCTTAGCATCTGCAGTTTCTTTAACACTAAAATGTTTTAAACTTGATATAAAATGGCATAAACAATAATTAAGAAAAGAAAAATATATAATCAAAGGATATCTAAAATGTTTTTGAAAAAAATTGCGTTTTTCTTAAAAATATTCTTCCATAATTAAAATTTTTAAATGTTATACAAATATATAATTTTAAAATGAAGAATAGTCTTCTGTAGTTAATTTTTAGCATTAGTTTTTTCATTTCGATCATTAAACTGGATGCACAGACTGTTAATAGACTGGGAAAAATCAAACTTTTTCTAAATTTACTGTTTAAAAAATAAAATAAAAAGTTAATTTATTAATTAAAGTAAATGAAATAAAAACAAGTAGGTACCCAAACGGTTTTTTTTTTTTTTTTTTTTTGTCAACGTATTTCATTTCTAGGGATTTTTTTTTTCATTTTATTTCTAAAATTAATACATTAATTGTTACAATAAACATTTTTTTTATTATTAAAAGCATTTTCTTTGGTATTTAAGGGTGGATATTTGAGGTATTTGGTTTCAAAACTGGTGACATTCATTTCCAAAAAATTTTCAGAGCTGATCAAAAAATATTTCTTTAAAAAAAAATAAAATTAACAAAATTTCTTTATTATTTTTTATATGTTGGTAACAAATCACTCTAAACAAAAATTATTGACAACTTTTTATAATCTTCTCTTTTTTTTATATTTATTAAATCCCATTTAATGTAAAAAATATGTTAGATGTACCTTAATTTTATCAGAAAATATAGATTTCTGGTTAGTTTATGGTTGGAAGAAAAAAAACACTTTTATTAATTTTTGCAATATATCCGCATAATTTTAATTTTTTGTTTTATACAGATCTGCATTGCATTGATATCTTGAATGTTTCCAAGATTCTTCAACTCTCTGCCCTTTTCTAGGTTGAATTAATTGAATTTCAGGATTTTTTTATACTATGAAAGGTTTAAAAGTAGGTTTAAACACATATTTAAAGAAAGGATTTTTTGCTTAAACTATCTATACTTCGACTATTTTGATAAAAAATGAAAAGATTAACAACAGGTGTTTGATAGGACTGCTCCTTTGGCGTTGTTGTGAAGCTTTTTGATTGATTTTAGGAGGATCTAGACGGTTTTGAAACCAACGCATCTATTACATCATTTCTGGCATTATAATCTTTTGAAAATTAGAAAAAACAATTTTTCGGAGAGGGGGAGGGGGAAATATGTAACCTATTTTGAAACCAAATGCCTCAAATATTGATCAATATTTTTGAATATTGTAACAAAAGATTTTTATTGCATTTCATTATTTTTTTTCACTTCCTTATTTGGAGGGGAGGGGGAAGCAAAAATGTATGTCAGTCTCCATTAGTAAATTCATTTTGGATTAATTTTATTCCAGAATTAATCTTACCACAAGACCAGTTTAGACAGCCTGTCTAAATCAATAAGTTAAGGGGTTAGTTTAAAGCCATGCCTAACTTTAACTACCCTTAAAAGTTCTTCAGTATGTTTAAAATTAAAATGCACTTTGGATTATAATATCAAGAAATAGAATTAATTTATCACTGATTTTAGTGTTCCAGGACGCAACTCTCTTCGATTTTGATTATTTATCCAAGATTGGCAAAGGCAAGCCAAGCCGCCGACTTGTACGTGAATCTTTATTTTTGAAATTTGATCCGCTTGCTGCCGCAGCCGCTGCTGTAGCCACTCCCGAACCTGCCCAGGAAATGGCTCAAGCTGATAGGTATTTATTTATAATGGTTTAATGATTTTGTTTTACTAATTTAACGTAGAATGCAAACAAACATAGAAGCGAAGTATCACAAATATTACATTTGATTGAGTTTAATAAAATAATTCTTTTATTGATAAATTATAAATTTTTAGAATGTATATTCACCAAATTAATCTTTATCTTAATTTAATCTTAAACATTGAAATTAAATATTAATGTGAATTATCCAGTTTGAGAACACCCATTCTCTAATTAGGGTGAAAATTCCTAAGTATTGAATTTTACTGATTTTTTAGGAATAACAATGGATTCGATATATATTTAATTGAATAATATTATATATAACAAAATACTGTGTTAGTATTAATCTACTAAAGTTTTTTTGAATGGTGACAAATAAACAATACTGTTCATTGTAAAGATATTGCTCTAAAGGGTGAAAACTTTCACCACAAGATGAAACTGTCCAAATAATGTTGAAAAAATAAAATTGACCTTTAACCTATTATCAGGTAATTAAAGGATAAATTTAAAATAATGAATTGAATATTTGATGGTTGACCGTGGTGTATTAGTGTAGAGAGTTTCAGTTGAAACTCAACTCAGTTTCAACTAAAACTCCCTACTGCATACAACCCCCTGAAGAAAACCTGCAAAGTTGGTTGAAACGTTGGACTTTAAATAAAATAGTTTGTTGCTTAGTCTTCTTATGACCGCCACCCCGTACCATCTTCTTACTCTAAAATAATGGATGAAATAGTATACAAAATTTATATAGCAAAATTGATCTATTGATTTATGAAGTCACAGAGAACTATTTATTATCAAAAGTATTACATTAAAAATGATAGTTCCAGTTTGGTAACAAAAAAATACATACATTTGGATATTTATTGACAAGTAAAAATAAAGTTCTTCAAGTGTGCAAATTTTCATTAAAATTTACAAGTGACACTTGCTTAGGTTTATATTTTGTATTATGCTTCTTGGCAGTTGTAATTTTCTTTCGAATTCCGTAATATTTGTCTTATCTAATAACTAATGTATTCTTAAACGATTTACGTCTTTTGAATACTGCAAAAATCCTTTCTACATTTGATGGTTCTAATATTGACCCTATTTTAATTTTTTTTTCTTTTTTTTTTTTCTAGTTCGTTTATCTTCTTATTTAACTATCTTTATTATTAGATGATAATCATAATATTATCAAATAGTTCATTTTTTTTTTAAATAGTTTATATAACTTATTTTATGTCATAAATTTATTGAAGTATTTTATAATTTTTTTAACTTTTATTTTATTTATAGCAGTAGTGATGTGATTAGCACCCCTCCGAGAGCACCACTTTTACACAACGGAGATGATAAACTTGTTAGTATCACACCTAACAATGAAGCTACCTGTTCCCCAGCAAGCTCTACTGTTGCCACTCCTCCTCGGTCTAAGGCCAGGAATTCTTCTGTAAGTTTTACCACATTTTTAATTTTTCCTGGCTATAAGCCATATAAATACAATGTTGTAATTATTTTTTAAAAGATCTGAATGTTATACCTCTATGTACTTTCAATAAACGTTCTATTTCACAAAAAACTGATCTTGCCATATTAATCTGTATAATTATATTTACTGAATGTATTGTACCTAACATAATAAAATTTTGAAATAATGAAAAATTTTCTTTCTTGGCTATTATCAGTTAAATATTTTAATATTGATTAAAAAATTCGATAAATTCAAGCATCTCAATCTCAAATTAAAATTTAATATTTATAGAATACTTTAATTGATAGTACAAAGTTGATAGTATAAATCAAACGTTCATTTACCACTAACAAAGTTACTTTTGTTCTGTATTTCATACCTCAAATTTCAATTTTATGGTTTTGCTTCCAGTGTTCTGCAACTCCTACTCTACGTCATGAGATACTTTCTAAAGAAATATCTAAACTACAAGACTTGATGATGAGACAAGAATCTTCATATCAAGAACAGATTGCTGCATGTACAGAAGAGGTAGAGCAGTTAAGAGACCAACTAGCAAAACTCGAAGCACGCGACAATCAGGTAGACCTCCAGGGAAAACTAGCTGCAACGGAAGCCGAATCTGTTAAGCTTAAAAAAGAGCTGGCTGAAGCTACTGAAAGCAAAAAGCAATTAATGTATGTTATATATTTTTTTAAATTCTTACTACTCTAATATTTGCATAGACATCATAAATCATAATGGGACTTAAGTATCATTAGTAGAATCACATCGTTGTTTTCTAAATAAGTATGTGCAGTGCTGAAACTATGATTTCACTCTCCCATTATTTTTAGGATTATACTGCATTACCAACCTCCTCCGCTGGATTAAGGTAAATTACGGACACGGACATTCCTTAACAAATTATTTTGAAGACCCAATAATGGGTAGCCTTCGAAAATTCATAATGGCTGACCAAAATGGAGTCTGCTGAGAATAACTTTTCTTGTCTTTCTATTTTTTAGCTTTACAGAACTACAAGATTTAGGCCCTCCTCTACAATCACAATTTGCCATCCTGGACAAGTGGTGAAACTTGTTATCTATTTATTGGTTATTTATTTTATTTCTTGAACTTTTGACTCTTTTAATCTTCCCATATTTAATTTATTCCGTCCATCATAAATTTTTCCTGGTCCTGTGTAGTTTTTTTTTTTTTTTATAGCCGAATTTTGAAATGCAAAAATAATTTACATAATTTAATGGCATAATAAAGTCATCTGTTTGAATGAATAAATAGAATAATCTTACAATGTATTTAAATGTTTTATCTTTGTATAATCCAATGGATCCTTTCTTCCTTCCAGCTTAATCCTCTTACTGCGGGAACTCATTTGACTGTTTCTATCAAATCGCGGGCTCTGAAATCCAAAAAAAACATTCAGAAGAACAGAATTATTATATGGAATATGTGTATTGATTTTAGGTGGATGGGAAAATGATAAAACAACTAAACAACTTAATTCTACATATTTTTACTATTACTTTTTAATTCTTGTATGTTTTTACATTTATTACATTCATTTACATTTAAAATTTAGGAAACTTAAATTTATTTGTTTAGTAGACAGAGATTCACGTTTACCAAAATCAGCATTCAGTCAAAACTTGAATTTAAAAAAAAAAAATATAAAATTAACTTATTAACATTTATTTGATGTATAAAACATTTAACTAGAATATAAATAAGATCATGTATCTGACACAAATAAGAGAGAAAGAATATACCTTGGGTTTGGAATAAATCTACAACTGATAACTTCCAAATGGTGAGAACCCCGAACGACTGAATTGAGTGAGTTACAGGGAATGCACCAACCTAGCCACAAGTGGAATCGTGGAAGCAGGGCTTGTTCCTACCTCCCTCTTAAAGTGGAGATGGCCAAGGCGGGAAGGTAAGTTTCCCGCCCGCAGTCAAAGGGTTAATCTATCTCTCCTTCTGCCCAATATTAACCCAGATAGGGGTGAATTCTATACTCTGAAATTTCTATTTGAGATTATTGGAGAAATAAACAAAAAAAAAATGTCTTAAATGGAGTCCACTATACATTCTTTGCTTGTGTTTTTCACTGTTTTGCTAAGGCGACATAAATGTTCCTATTTATTTGTTTAAAAGAAATACTAGAGAGCTTTTTTATTTTACTGCTTGATAACATTATTGAATGATCAAATGTATCACTTACATTCTTACTCTTTATTTTGTATTCTATTCAAGTTATAATTGAATTATTTGTTTTTTCTGTAGGATGATAATGGAAGAATACGAGAAAACCATATCACAAGTAGTTACAATGAGAGAAGATGATAAAAAGAGGTTTGAAGCGGAAAAAGAACAAATATCTATGGAAAGAGAGGGTGCTTTGTTGCATTTACGGAATATGGAAATAGCCTTTAATGATGTTCACCAGTAAGTATGACTTAAATCTTTTTTAAATATTTTGTTTTGTGTATGTATGTAGTTGAAACAGAAATCCCTTTATTGGTTCAAACTTTAGTTGAAAATGAATAATTATATTTATAGATTTTAATCGAAAGGTATATAAACCTGTAGTAGAATTTCTATTTAATGGAACTGCCCCATCCTACCAGATGTAAACAAAAGTTTTATTCTTTGAACATTACTCATTCTTCAGAAATAATAATACAAAAAACCAGATACAAAACAAGATTTTATACCTTAGATTTTTCATGGTTGATAAATATTCATAAATAAATAGTGATAAATCCAAACATGTGGGTCATCGTCACGCCCTGATGATGACCCACTTGTTTGGGTTGAATCGTCGGCACTAATAAAAACTTTATAATGACTGCGTCCTGAATATTTATCACCCAGGATATGTAGAACAGTCGACTAACTTCCTTCAATCATAGAGTTTTCATTAATATTAATAATAATTTCTTGATTTGTACATAAATATAATTATTGCACTAAACTAAGAATTTTAAATATTTAACTTGTAGTCAAAGAATGTTTAATATCTCATCAATTTATTTTATCACATCAAAATTACTGTAAGGTTTGTGACAAAATATATTTACAACCTTATTTATTTCAGAAAATATGAAAAGTGCAAAGAAGTTATTGAAGCTTTTAAACACAATGAGGAACAGTATAAAATCTCATTAAATGAGAACAGAAAAACTATTATTCAACAAGAAGAAAACTATCAAAAACTGAAAGAGCATGCTGCTCAAAAATTGGAACAGTATGTATTTCTTGAGTGATTATTTTTATTATAGTATATATTTCATTAAAATGGTCCTTTAATCAAGTATTGAAATTAGATAATGTTTTTTAATAGCTAAATCTGATTTACCAATTTTCAACAATTTTTATTTTTTCAGAGCTAATATTGAAATCTCAGAAATGAAAAAGGCTCACCAGGCAGAAATAGCTAAAATGGTTGCTGTGCAAAGGAAAATGGAAATTCGAGTGAAATCCCTCGAAGAATCTCTGGAACAAAAGAAAAGAGAAGCTGCAGAATTGACAAAAATCTGTGATGATCTTATTACTAAAGTCGAACAGTAAAAATTATAGTTGAGAGATTTTTAATTCAAAAGTCATGGATAATGGCGCAGTCAGCTCCTTTTGAGATTATTTTTTTTCAATCGATCGTGAAAATTGAATGTGTTGAGAAAATTGTCTCCCTATGGTAAATCATTGCTTCCCCTGCCCTCTCCTTCCTGGGTGGTTTTATTCATATGTACCAACCTAGAAGTTTCAATCTGCCTTTATATGGGAGATATTTTTATAATAATTTATATAAAGAAATGTAATAAAATTTGTTTTTATTGTAGATATTTTTTAAATGTCATTAGTTTTTAAGTGATTCATTTCTATTCCTACTTTATTCCTCACAATGTAGAGGGCTCGGTTACAAGTTGTAAATGTTGGCTGTGAGACCCATTTCATTTTTATACGATATTTAGAACCTAATAATTACATTATAATTTTGTGCTTACATATTATTGGCTTGTTTAAATTAATTAAATAAAAGAAATATACCACTTTTTATAGACTTGTAGTTTTGTGAATATGCAAGCACTAATTGAAATTAATATTTTCATATATAATTATTTATAGCAGATTCCTATGTGCCGCTGTTCCTTTCCTTTTATAGCTAGACTGAATGTTTATGAGAAAATAAATTTTTTATGAATGAGTGTATATTTATTGTTATTTTTAATAGAATATAGTTAATAACTATATATTTTATTTTTTCTTGTGCTCCAATTATATAACAACTATTATTAATTTAATCTTAATAATTTTTACTTTCACTTACCTATATATGAAATATATAGTAAAGTATTGCGATCGTGAAGATTTTCGAATCTCAGTTTTCAACCAAAATGCACGTTTTGAAGTCCCCCGAGTCCAAATAAAAGAGTCCCGCAAATTGGTCTGTGTGTGTGTTTTAACAGTCTAACTCATAAACAAAACGTTGTACGAAAGTGAAATTGCATGTATAAGGTTTTTATATGCTTGGGATGTTACAGCAAATTTTTCATCAAAATCGGCTAACCGAAAGTGGCACTTTATATCATGAACTAAACACATTTTTACAATTTTCTCGAAAATGGCTCTTAAATTGGCTCTGGTTAAATTAACCAGTTTTTAATAAATTGTAGTTTTTATTCTGATTGATGTTCTTTAACAGGGTTTAAATGGTCAATTTTCAATATTAGCTTAGCCTAAAGTACCTTTAATTTTTTTTATTTGAAACAATTGACCATTTCACATTAATCTCTAATATAAAAGATAGTTAAATATAAAATATGAAAGAATTTGACAATTAACTAAAGAAGAAATAAGAGATCGTAACGGAGAATAATTGTAATTAAGGAACCAAAGGAATACAAGCTCATCCGAAAGATTAGAACACGATTCCATACATTACCTTAGCTTAATATAATATGGACTCCGAAAATATGTAAAGATGCAAATGCTGTTTTCATAAATACTATTGTTGGTATTCTATTAAATATTTAATTGTATAGATTACAGCGATATAAACATTAAAATTTGTATACATGAGGGTACTTACACAGATAAAAATACCCACAATGAAATATAAATAAATATAGTGTCTATAAATTTTACTTTCACTTCCCCTTTGTCTGAGAATACTTATTTCTGCTAGACGAGGATGGTAAGTGAAAGTTGTGTGATATTTATCAGTTAATTCATAGTACATTATACCATATTATTCTGTTGGGTTTACACAGGGAGGTTACAGGTGTGGGGTCACTGGTTTCAATGAAACTTAACATTTTTTTATATTGTTGTTTTCTGCCTTTGCTCTATATGGATTTCTAGGTTATAATAAATCGATGGATTTGTTTTTATTTTTTGTTATAAAATAAGAAAAACATTTCTAGTTGTATTAAATAAATTAAATTACAATAACCAAAATGAGACATTCATTGAAGTAAGCCAAGTCAATTTTTATTATGATAAATTTATTCTGTTTCTAGTGCCCTTCAAAGCTATTTAATACAAATTTGTTTTAAAATAAAATTTTTTGGACTGATTTAATGGGAGAAATTCTTTTCATGCTGTTAACTAAAGTATTCCTCAGGATTTTGTCCTAATTCAATGTTTGTACAACCATTGGAAACCAGAATTATTGCTCTTTTAAACCATATCAATAATGTTTAGATTTTACGCCTTTATAAAGAACAATTCCTCAAAAATGTCTATTTTATGTCTCCTGTTCTAATTTGATTATGGGGTCCTAAATCCTTAGTAATTTTTGTGTAGGTAGGTAAAGTCATGTTGAAATTATTACAATTTTTGTTATTTCCACCCTTAATGAAAATTTTATATTCCGATTTCCATGATATTTCATATTTAAGGGTTTTTCAAGGTTGAAATACAAATATCAACTTTATTGTTCCTTAAAAAAATTTTGAACCCACTTTCCTTCTTAGTATTAATTAATACAAAACTGTACTCATACTACAGCTGTATGCCAATATATTTTTTTTTAACTGGACCGGTATCAAAAGAATAATATTATATGCCCAAAACCTGATATGTTGTCTAGATTTGGTCTGAAAATGAAAATAAGGCATATATTGGTAAATATACATAATATCTACATCCGTATCCCATTAAATATTTTTTTGGGATAAACAAAATTAATATTAGTTTTTGCACCTCGGATATCACTTAAATAAGAATTTTCATTGCTATTGAAATATGAAAATTTTCTATTAATAGTTGTTAGGAGGTCCATCTGTGTTTATAGCTTTATTCTATGTATCATACCTGTTAAACACAGTGGACTGTTGATAACATTTTTCAGTTGCAATGGACTTTGTTTTTCCAAAATATTAAAAAATGCCATAACTTTAACATGACTACTCCACCTATCTACACTAAAATTAGTTAGGATTTTGGACTACACAAAGTGGCATGACCAGACAGACCTCTGTAAACAAATTAAAACTGGAAAGATAAAATTAAAATGTTTAAGGAGCTGTTCTTAATTAAGATATCAGATCTTGATTTTTGATATATATTTCGTGACAAAAATTTACTTGTCCCACTTTAATGGAGCATTATTTGGTTTTTATAATTAATTATTCATTTTAATATGTTTAATACAATTAGAAATATGCTTTTCTTATTTTACACCATATAAAGTAGATTGATTAATAACCTAAAATTCCATGTAGAACAAAGACAGAAAACAATAATACAAAAAAATGTGTAAGTTTTATAATAGACGTTGGTCAAATATTTTTCGACCTTGCATTAGCAAGAAAAGTTTCATTGAAATCAGTTACCTCCCCATGTTAGATAACTGCAGTCAATGATTTCAGAATTTTATTTTAGGGGAAAGCCCAGAAGTCTAGTATGATCTTGATCTAATCACCATGCACAACTTTTGGTATATAAACATATATTTCCTTACAAAGTACTTAACCCAAGACCATTCATGGATCCTCGTGACAGTTTTTTGTCTTATATTTATTTTCATATAAAATAATATTAAAATTTGATCCTAAATTTGCCTTTCCTGTATCTTCTTGTTCTTTGTTATCAAAAAATTGTCTTATCATAAAACTATAACAAACTGGTCTTGAACTTGATCATTTGTTTGCAAAATGATTTGTTGGTATGAGGTAAGTTATTAAAGGTCATACAAAAATAGTTATGGTGATATAATGATGGCAGATTCAGGAATTAAAGCTATCTTTTCTCATCAGCTAGTTTATGTTCAGTTACATCTACAAGCAGAATACCCGTGTAAAATGTTAATGTTATAAATCATTATAATGTTATATAAAACGGCCGCCCAAATGGATTCCCATGGCTCTGAGTTGTCAGTAAATCAGAGTTAGCATGTGCTCTCTTTCTGTACAGTGTGTGCAAAGTGCTAGTCCAAATAGTTGGGTTGAATTGTACAGGATGAGTCATCTGGTCTCTGTCTTTTCAATCAATCTTTTCTTGTTTGATGATTATTATCTTTTTTTTTAATAGGATATAAAGATAATTTCCTTACCCTTCAGGAGTACTACTGAAATTGTCTTACACTATGGGACCCAAAGGAAGAATTTTATTTTAAAAAAGGAAGATGTGTGAGTGGATGACATAGCTTACTTACTTACTATGTAGCTCTACAGCCCAGGGCGGGCCTTGGCTTCCTGAATTATAGCATGCCAATCATCTCTATTGCTCGCTCTTTCCTTCCAATTCCTCATGCCCAGTGTTCTAAGGTCACTCTCAACATCTTGTAGCCATCTTTTTCTTGGTCTTCCCTTTCTTTTTATGCCATACATTGTAGAGAACAATGCCCTATAAGGCATCCTGCTGTGGTCCATTCTAACCAGGTGGCCTAACCATTCCATACATCTAATTTTAACGAATATACCTCCACACACCCTCTTCACAAACAGCTCCATAAATTTTTCTCAATATTTTTCTTTCAAAAATATTCATCATACTAATTGTGCTAGTACAAAGGGTCTATGTCTCCGCTGTATAAGTCACAATAGGTGTTACTAAAGTCTTATCTTTGTTTCTCCTGACAGAAGCGATGATCGAAAAAAATTTAGGTTGGTATAGTACGCCCGGTTTCCAGCCATGATCCTCTTGTACATCTCAGCAGCAATTTTATTTTCAAAATTCACTTCCACCCCCAGGTATGTGAATTTTATGGCACATTCGAAGGTGAGAACACATATTTCAATGCTCTGTGGACCAGCCTCATTGTCGGCTCTGACATACATGTATTTTGTCTTATCTTGATTGATTTCCAGCCCATCATTTTCACCTGCAGCTTTCAATATTGCAAAGATTTCTTTTATTAATCTAAAATTCCTGGTAATTAGGCATATATCGTCTGCGTAAGCACATATTTGCACCATTGTGTTAAGTATGCAAACAGTGAATCCAGTTAGGATGAAGTATGAACCATGGATCCCAATCGAGAATAGTGTAAATCATTCCGAGAAATTATAGCTGCTTCTAATGCCGCCAAATTTTGCAGTATTTTACATAGTTCTTGCATTTGGATTTTCTCAATATATTAATTTAGGCATGTTCTATCTGAGTTCGCATACAAGTTAAGGTAATAGTTGTTTGCAATAACTATCATGTTCATAGAATGATGCATGGCTTAGAAAACATTCTACTTTCGGGCTCTTTGAAACTTCTTTTTGGCTTATTTCGGCACGTAAGAGCGATAATTTCTATGAGAAAGGTTATTTTTAATCTCTCCAATCATTGTATCCATTTAAACAAAGAACATATTTCATGAGCAATAAATAAAATGTTTGCTACTCTTGGACTTGGGTTGCGAAAGAATAAAACATTAGATAGGAGACCAAAAAGATAGTCTGTTTTGAAAGAGGCGATTAAGGTTTGAAATCAGAATCGGTCGAGAATCCTTTATCAAGGTATTGTCGGTGGTCATTATTAGTTATTAATCCTGGAATGGCATTGTGGAGTATGAGATGAGATACCCCAACTGCACTTCTTTTACATGTTACTTCTGTTCTTGGAATCCTCCTTTCCGCTCCTCTAAATGCCCTTATACATCTTTGACAAATGGTGTTATTCCGGGTTTTAATTGTGCTTTATATTTTGAAGTGGGAGGAAGAAAAATAATCTTGGATGGTACACTTCACCGTGTGCCAGTCGAATGTTTTATATGTCCTGTCCCTATCATGTTCATTCTTTTCCCAATCCAATTGTGTTGAGATGACTGATCAAAAGAAATAAATGAAACCAGGTGTGATTTCAAGCATTTCAGCTGTCTAGTCACAACGTTGAGAACAAGTTGATGGGGAAGCGAGAGAATCAGAAGAAAACAGAAATTCAGAATTCTTAGAATAAGAAAGAAGTAGATGATATTTTACCCGAAAACAATTACTTTAAATTTCCAACGAAGCCTATTAGTATTAGCTGGGTATGATGTTTTAGAAGTTGATAGGCAAGATATTGCAGAATTATTGCGTAAGTGGTAATAACTCGTAAAAAAGGATGTATGCAGTAAAAAAAAATTTCTGTTTAAAAAAAGTGCATGAAATAAAACAATATTTATGACCAAACTAGTCCAAAAGGAAAGGCCAAGAATTTATTTTATAGATATATTGATATTTTACATCTTGTAAAGTTGTGAGATTTGAGTTTCAATTTATATGACGATGAAGATAAGTAATAGTCAATATAACCCCAGATTTGTTCCAAAAGTCAATAATCTATTTATCATAAATTTAAAAAAATAAATATCTTCATAAAATATTGTCCTTTCCCTTTTGATAAATTAGCAATTGATTAATTCAACACCATTACAATGTTTAAAACAGAGATTCTGGATTTAGTTTAATCTAACCTCGATTTCAACCCTTTCTCAGTCTTTCCCTTAATGATTTTTGAGAAACAATTGTTGAATAGTTTTGAGATATGCCGATTAAATATTTTTTTCATTCCTCGCTTGTCTACTGTGTACGCTATTTTTTTTATGTTTGTTCCTGATTCTCTGGAAGTGAACATAACAACAGGACAGTTTCAAATTTCAATATCAGGTACCAGTACTTACCCTAGTTTGTCTGATGAGATAAGATCATAGTTTTAGTTAATACTTTTTTAAATATTATAATAGGTCTGATAGATCCAGAAAACATTGTAAGTAGAGGTGGCCGAGCGTGCTAACGCGGTACAAAACAAGCGTTGTTCTTGCAACTTGGTTAACTTTTATTTTCTTATTATTTTTTTCTTTTTTTGTTCTCCCCTGACCTACCTTTTAGGCTATACGGGAGTTTTCTCGGGCCAGGGGGTGAGGGCGGGGAATTTAAAAGGCCCTCAGGCATCGGGACGCAAACTTGTAATTTTGTTGTCTCCAACTTTAGTCATCAGGTTGCCAGACAACGCGCGGTGCTGTGCATTCACGTTTGGCCACCCCGTGAATGGACTAGTCTTTCGAGAGGTTTAGAAAGACTGGAAAGGATGGAGATGGGTCTTAAATCGGGAACTTTGGAGGGAACCGGAACTTTGCTCAATGGACGGACTATAACTTTTTTCCAAGCTGATGGGAAACTGGAATTTTGTAGAGAAAAATTGTAAATATGTAATAGGACAGGAAATATGACAGGGAGACATAGTTTGACTAATTTCACTGGGATTAGATCCGGACCGTAGTAATTTGTTCTGGATTCGAGGATAGAGGAAAGCAGGTCTTCCGATGAGATATTTGTAAAATAAAAATTTGAAGGGTCAAAGCAAGTTTTAGGAAAGCAGTCTGAGGAGGAGAACGATATTGAAATAGAATCGGCAAAGTAGGAATTCAGATGATCGGGAGAAGCAGAATATAAGGTACAGGTTTTTGATTTTACAACGGAGAGATTTTTAATCTCTCCAGATCTTCCATTTGGACTTACGATCTGGTGCTTGTGATAAAGAGATATGAAATAATTCTGCCTTAGCAAGTCGCAAGAAAGATTGAGTTAGGTTTCGAAGGGAGTTGAATGATATGTAATCATCCGGATTACGTGTGCGTTTGAATCAATTCTTGTTGCGTCTCTTCTCTGCATCAGTCTTCTAATTTCCAGGTTAATCCAGGGAGTAGCAGGACCTCTGAAGGTAGAGGTCTTTACAGGAGCATGTTGATTGAGGAATAGAAGAACATTGGAGGAAAGACATTCCACCATTTCATCAATGGATTGGGCTAATGTTTCAAGGAAAGGATTAAGTTTTTTCAAGGGTCAATGAGCCGAGGTTTCGCCAAGTGATTTGCTTAGGAGTGAACTTAGGAGTCGCGACGTTATAGGAAATTTTGATGAGATAATGATGTGACAGAAAAGAAACAGGGTTCTGGGTTGAGGATAATAAGTTTTGAGAGGAATCGATTATAAAAAGGTCAAGCCATCTACTCTAAAACTGGGTATGGTGAGTGGATTGAAAAGGAAAGATGAAAAGGTATGCAAGGTATGAATAATAAAGGAGAGTCGGAGCATAAATTGGTGTTAAAGTCGCATGTTATTATAATATAATTGTATTCTAAGGCAGGATCAAATCGGACTTGAGGAGGGCGATATGTAATGAAATGAAGATGGGAAAAGGATTCTGAGGAAATTTCTACTAATAAATACTCAACATGAATTCGGAAAACGGAAATTCGGGAGCGGAAGTCTTGTGAAGGATTTTTGTCCTCAAACTTTCATGAACGTAAAGAGCAACACCACCACCTATCCGGACCGTTTGATCATGATGAATGAGGGCGTAGTTAGGGGTAGATACTGAGGAGGAAGGAATGCTTGGTTTAAGCAAGGTTTCTGAGACGGTAATAATATAAACGACGTGAAAGATAAACTTTCAATTTCAGTAAAATCAATATCATACAGGAATATCCTCTAGCAGCAGTGAATAATTTCAAATCCACAAGCACTGTAAAAGACAGCGGTAAAATAGTAGACAAATGAGCTAACAAAAAAATAGATGCGAACTGCGTGTTTACCCAAGATTATTCATCGTGGGTAAAGCTTGTAATAAGTGAGAAAAAAAAACAATTTAAAGCTTATTAAAGTATTTTATCTTATTACACTTCATAGGCCGAAAGACTGAACTATTCTCAAGAAATATGTTTCATGTTACCACAATAGAAATATATGGAAAGTAACTGACTAATTCAACCAAGACTGCTTAAGAAATTACAGCTTCCTTCCTTGGAATGATATTTGTTATTGGCGCACTTGAAGAATATCAAATGAAATGTCGCCTTGTCTGCAGAATGAAAGATAATTGGAAGGGCTGGTACCTTGCGAACCATTCCGATTTAGTAGTGTTCACTTGGTTGGAACAGAACCTATCGATGATCACTTACTTAGAAAGAGATTTGGAAACGAATGTGGCTGCAATTTCAATCAACTTTGAAGAAATGAAAGACAAAATAATTATTATAATTACATAATATAGACTGTGACTACTCCGCTAACCGGGGCAAGTTCCTGAAATCAACGCTGGATTCCCAATTTTCCTCAATAATCTCATCACTGAGTTTAGTAACTTACCCACCGTTGTATCAATGAGTTTAGTAACGATCTGATAGATTTCGCTGAGTTTAGAAAAATACCCAACAATAAAGAAATAATTAAACGGTTTTATACTTTACATACTAGTTTAGTCAAAGAGGAAGGGGAGGCGATTTTATTTTGAAACTATTTCATTATATAAATTTTAGATATTTGCAGGTTTTTATTAAATTTCCATACAGTCAATTATTCAAGATTGCCAAAAAATCAGCATCATTCTAATAATTGTAATATTTTAATTTATTATCGTTTGGTCCAACCCTAAAAACTATTTAGATTTTTATTTTATTGTCATTCATTATTACAATATACTTGAACATTTTGGATGGTTTAAATATTAATCTTTTAATTCTAGGGAAGAATAAAATTATTTTGAAGAGGTTGGTACTGACTTGTTTAAAACAGTTTTATTCGAAAGAAGAATCTTATTGTGCTCGTCGATGGCTTCTTAAAAATCGATATCTAAACTTTCTTAAGAATCTATAATTTTAGTAATAGGTTATCGTTTTAGTTAGGTTAACTTATTTGACAAGAGGAGGTTTGTATTGTTTATTTATATTTTTAACATTACATTCAACATTTTTATGTCTGTATCCATTTGTTTTCTACTATTATGAGTCAAATTTATAATGTAAAAATATTGTTCATGTAGATTGCCTTTTGATTTATCAATTTCTATATGAGTTATATTGCCCTTAATTTTACATCTCTGCTAAACATAATATTTTTTTTATTTCTATAGCAAAAATTGTATTATTCATATATTATTAAATACTTTTTAACATTACTGATTTTAATTTGTTTTTCATGTTTGAAAATATTCAATTTAGTGTATAGTATGAATGTTTCCATCAATACTGGTGGTATGTATTCTTCCAATTAGGTTTCCACATTTTGGTATGCTTCATTACATTGATTAATTTTTATATAGTTTTATCAACTGATTTACAATGAGAGGAAGAGGTAGAGGTCGTGGAAGAGGTACCAGAGGTAGAAGAGGTGGAACTGGAATAGGCCGAACAAGGCCAAAAAAGAAGGTAATAATTATATTTTAAAATTGTATGTCACTTTAAAAGTACTTTGATTAAAACTTCTAATGACATATCCATAGTATCCTTAATGCAAGTATTATGCTTACAATGTATTACAATTTGTTTCTTCTGACTAATATCGCAAATTTAAGTATTGAACAAGATTTTAATCTTTGCTGTCATTTTTTATCTCAGCAATCAATCTTAATCAATTATTTTACAGATGAATCATGAATGAATGTAAATGATTATTTTCTGATGCGCATCAAAACCTATAAGTCTTACTTTTATCAAATATCCTTTCAACGAAGTATTTGAAGTAATTTTTTTATAATTTTTATTTGTTCCGCTTGCTTTGTTAAGAAACAAATCTTTCTGTTGCTGTTAAGATGTATATTAAAAGTGGAATGAATGGACTATAGTATAGCAATCAAACTATCATTCCATACAAAATTTCTGAGTAACTCAGGAACCATAAAACAGTGAGTGTTTAAGAACATTTTAAGTAAACTGTGTTATGATAGTTACTGTTGTGATGAAATGATAGAAACTCAAACAATTATGTAATCTTGTTGTTACTTCATTTATATAGTTGTTTCAGTATTGTACATACATAATATATATTACAAAGAGAGGACATTATTGCTTAATGTTCTTACTGCAGATTGAATAAATTAATATCAAGTATTTTGGATAACATTTCTCGGAGATTGCAAGGTTACTATAGTTTATTATATTAAAAATAAAGAATTATGAGAACACCATTTATTTTTAGAACTAGAAGTATAGTCACAGGTATTGTTTATTTTTTCAAGAATCTAATTTTAAATTTAATTTCAATAAAAATTAAGATGGTTACAATTATTGTAAATGAAAATCATTTTCAAATGTTTACTCTTTCCTATTGAAATTTTTTTATAATCTTATTCATAGTAATGCAGTAACAATTTATTTCATTGAGTTTTTTAATGATTCTAACCATCTTAACTTTTAACTTGATATTGATTATTATTATTGAATGGATATAAAGTTGACGGCTTTTTATTTTTCAAAGAAATACCTATCCAAAAGTATATTCTATCTTAACTTAAGCTAATAATTTATATAATCAGTAGTGTGTTGTGGTCACGTAACAGATTTCTTTTCCTTAAAATATATATTTTACCATAACTTAGTATAAAACAATTCGGTAATATAGCTGTTATTTTTTAAGTTTGACAACATCAAGACATAATTGTTTAAGAATGAAATTGATAGTTAAAATTACAAGAAAATTATGGTTATTGCAATATCATAAACATTGGAACTTAAAAGTATTAGTGAAGGATTAATCAATTAATTTCCGTTTGCAATGAACTGCTTTGAATAATGAATGGATGAGCTGATATTTTAAGATATCATTGATCTGTCATACTTTCTTGTTTAACATAACATACTTTATACCATTATTATTAAATGCATTTGTATATTTTATTTAATTATTTTATTTTTGATATTTTTTTTTTACTTTTTAGGTAATAGAAAGTGATGAAGATGAAAGTCAGATGGAACTTATGATAGAGCATCACGATGAAAATTTTCCTCCTGCCAAAAGTAAGTTTTCAACATTTTAAGTTTGTTTGATATTGATTATAGTTAAGCTTTAGTTTTGTTCTTTATTGAAAAGCTTTTTGGTTAATCAATATTAGTTTTGAGATTTTTTTCTGAATTAATTGTGAATACAATCACTATTTAACTTATTTTATCATATTTTTCCAAAATGTTTATCATGAATACACTGTCAGCAGAGAATCATTTCTGAAAGTTTTCAGTTTTCATTTCTGAAGATAATAGGTTCTACTACTTATGTTTTTAACTCTTAAAGATTGTTGATTGTTAGTGCATCTAACTCTTCCCATAAAGTATTATTTATTTCTTCATCAGCTTCTAATTTCATTGTTTATGATAGATATTATGGACTTTGTGGAAATGTTTGTTTGGTTTTATCCTCTAATGTCAAATGATAATAAAATAAATAGACATGACAATTGGTTCTGGTTTAAATTTGTTGGTTTTTATCATTTTGGAGTTTTTTCCCTTTGTATTCTCATGGTTTTGCGTTACTGTCTATAAACCATGTAAACATGAATTCACTTGGATATCAGATTATAAAAAAAAGTAGGATAGCTCTGTGATTAAGCCACTGTGCTCCTATTATCTTGGTCCCGGGCCCAAGCTCAGCTTGGTACTGTAATGGTATAACTTATGTTGCATCAGATCTGATCTATGGTCAAGAAAACCTCTTTGGATATACCTCTGTTAAGTAGGTATGTTAATTAATTAAGAGTAAAAGTATCTGGCGTGTCCACTCACACGACTTTCCTACCTATCTCAGAAAAGTTTTTACATCTTTACATATGCTCATGAAGAAACAAAAAAGAATTGAACTAGATACATTTTCCTGAAAATTGATCAAATATAAGATTTGAGTATGGTTTATTTGATAAACTAAAGCAATGTAAACCGGCTTAAGGTTGATCAGTGTAAAAATTTCAATACTTCCTAATATTGCTGACCAAAAATTTTTGGCATAGCTTAGTATTGTCAAACAATAATTTCTGTTAAAAGCAGAGGAAATAGTGAAGATTGTGTGATGCGGCAACAGATTTTCTTACTTTCACTTAGTCATCTTTATTCTCTCATTCACCCCTTTGACACCAGGATATGAAACCGTAATCTTACATTGGAAATTGGATAGCTGTAACTTCGTTAATAGTTGTCCAAAATGTACAATTTTTATATGGCTTTGTAGGGAATTTCATTACCTTTCAAACGACACGCTAAACAGCGTATTTTCAGACAGACAGACCAATGGCTAAAAATGTGTTTTTCGGACTCAGGGGGCTCTGAAACATATAGATCCGTCGAAAACCGCATGTCGTAAATTTGACTCGATTGCAATACTTTACTTACCTAGTATAGGTAAGAAAGTAATAAGTTAAAAAATGTGTAAAAAATAGAATAAGCTGTATCATCGCTAGTACTGGTTCAATTCCGATGTTTTTTTTGTTTTGTTGGTAATTTAATTACCTTTCAAAAGTTGTATTATAAATTTTACCGTATTATATATACTTAGAGAGTTAGGCCCCATAATATTTTTCTTTTCTTTATAACTTTTTTCCTGAATTTTTTTGGTAATTAAGTCTACATACGAAAATTGAAAGAACAATGATTAGAACATTATAGGAAAGTTTCATCAAAATCGTTTGAGCCGTTTTTGTGCTACAGTCAATAGAAAAACATGTTTTTCATTTATTGCGCGCAAGCTATTGCACATGGAGAACCGAATTTCTGTCACAGCCATCAGTAGTCAAAACCCTACAAAATAAAAAAAGAAGCAACAAAATCGGTTCAGTAGTTCCCGAGAAAATCTTGGCACAGACAGAGAGACCAATGGCTAAAAATGTGTTTTTCGGACTCAGGGGGCTCTGAAACGTATAGATCCGTCGAAAACCGCATGTCGGAAATTTGACCTGATTGCAATACTTTCCTTACCTAGTATAGGTAGGAAAGTAAAAAAATTACATTTTTTGCTGAATGCTTGTAGCACAATTTTTGGATTTTATGGCAACAGTCATCATTTTTGAAAAAAAAAAAAATATTATTTTACGGTGTCATGTTAATTAAAGTAAATTCTTTTTTGATTGTTTTGACTTGTTTGTAACTATTGGTAATGTTTCATCTGTTTATGATAGCATAAATTAACAATAATTATAATAATTTTTGCACCATAATAAATTAGTATTTACTTGTATCTCCATATATTCATGGCACACATATACCAGGCATCTCTCATTAGGTGGAACAGTTTGAGTTGTTGGCCTTATGTTGAAATTCATTCCATAAAATCATGTATTAGACAGTGTTTAAAAGAATTGTTTAAAATATGGTATTATATTGTAGCTTGATATTGTGTGTCTTTCTGAATTCTTAATTTTTTATGCTGGTTTCAAAACAAAGGTACTGTTGTTGTATTTTGTATACTTGTAATTGTAAAGGTGGTCCTGATTCTTAATATTTTCACAGTTACATTTAATTTTCAATAATAAGTGTTCTTGAAATTGAAACCAAGATTAAATTTTCTTTAATAATATTTTGTTTGCATTAGTTGATATGGAAGCAGATATATCGCAGTTAGAAGCTCCGACTTTTACAACGCTGAACAGGGGTCCTCCAGAGCCAATGCTGAGACTACGATGGGATCATAGAGTATCGCTGATTGGGGAAAAGGTTCTTAATCCAATGATTCACTGTTGTGACAAGTGCCTGAAGCCAATACTCATTTATGGACGGATGGTAATGAAGTTTATCTTTTATTTTAGTAAATATTGATATAACTCTTAGATATAACCTGTTAGCTACTCCTATTAATACTAAATTTTATTTATATATTTTTTCTGTGAAATTTTATTACGTTTCTACTGCATTTGATGTTAAAAAAAAATAAAAATAATCTGGTGACAATAATAAACAAAATTCATATTTCTGTTTTGTATTTAAAAAAATAAATATAAATGATACTGCGGATATTACTTCCTCTTACTTAAATCTTCCAGGCATACATCTTTGTTTATCTAGTTGATTTTGTACTTACAGCACCTCTCTAACTTTGTCAAGATAATGGACGCTGTACTCATAGCCAAGATATAGATGCCTGATACCTGCAAGACAGTTTAACATATATTTTTAATAATTTTTTACTGCTTCTGAGTTTGTATTTCATTAGTTACTTGTGACTGGCTAAACTACGACTTGCATGAATTATTAATTCATGATCTTGATCTTTCTTCATTAATTTTAGTTTCCTACTCCCACCATGTCTCTTTTCTAATCTACTGTATAGTTTGTGAGGAAGAAGTAGGAATTATTAATATTTAATTTTACTTGCTTAAAAGATCAGTTGTTATATAAGTATATTAATTATAATGAAAAAAGAGATAAAAAGTTCAAATAGTCTAAACTATTTTATTGATCCGTCATTACACCCACTTAGTAGGTCTTCATCAGAATGAAAAATTGTCGGATTATCAAAACAGTTTATATTTGAAGTTTTTTATTACCACAACCCCTTTTTAAGGACTATCTCATCGTTTATTATAATCACGGTCAACCGTTGAATATCCAGTGTTTTAATTACTTAAAAAGGTTGAAATTTGTCTACTGTTTTGTTGATCGGTTGGCTTATTTGACTCCTTCAGTCAGTAAAAGTTGAACTTGATTTGTTTTTTCAGATACCTTGTAAGCATGTATTCTGTCTTCAATGTGGAAGGGAGGAAGAAAAGGCTTGCCCGAGGTGCTTGGAACCAGTGACTAGGGTAGAACAAACAGGGTTAGGAACTGTTTTCATGTGTACACATGGTGGCACACGGTATGGACATTCAGGTTGTCGGAGAACTTACCTTTCTCAGAGGGATCTCCAGGTGACTTAAAACTACTTTTAATATTTTAGTTATTATATTTTTAATATTGGCTTCTTTTCTTCATCCATACAAATTTATATGGCTTTTGTAAAGCATGATCCTAGGAATGATTACTTTATGTTATTTTTTTCTGGAAGTGGCTTTTTGATGATTGATGAGAAGAGTAAATACTATGAGCAAGATGTAATTTATTCTGTTTGCATTAGTAGCTCAGGATCGAGATGCAGCTGGTTGCTATGAAATGTTCAAACATTTATAGATATTAAAGATTTGGCAAAACTGAAAAAGCTATTGTTAATTGTAGTGTGCTAAATAGAAAACATGATGGGCACATTTAACGGGCTGATAATTAGTTTATGTATAACATTCTAGGTTATTCAAGCTGAGTCTTTTAATCAAAGGTTCTTCAGCATTTATTTCATTTATGGCATGTCACATTTTTGCAGTCTTTCTTTGTAGGTTGAAATCATTATCAAGTTCTACAAATTTTCTCAATTTATGAAAGATCTGAGTGACTACAATGACCGTTTAAGTTTCTGGTTGAAAGGCCATAGAAAAAATATGGGCTCAGATCTCTCTCAGGTTCTGAAAATTCTCATATGTGAACAAACAAAAAAAAAAAAAAAATGTATTCAACAAAGAATCAAAGGCTAGAAAGATATAATGCATATTAATCTTATACAGATATAATTGAAGGAAACAATCGATGATAAATAGCTTCTGGTTATGAAAATCGAAAAAAAAAAAATCGTGAATATTTTATAATGTCCAAAAAAAAAAAAAAAAAGAAGATTCATAAAAGTACTGGCGAAATATTTGATGTTCATAAAATAAAAGTTCTGAGGATGGGGAAAATATTTTCTGAAACATCAACATAAAAGTGGTGTAATGAAGAAATAAAAAAACATTTAAAATGGCTAACTTGACCTTATGAAGATTAGAACTTTCCAGTCAAACTAAACCAAGAAAAGATATTTATTTATTGTTATGTTATTTCACATACTTCACTATATTATATAACAAGGTCTAATTACTAATGTAAGTATTTTTTTTCAAAATGTGAAGTTGTTTAAAACTTTTCTTATTTTAGGCCCATATAAATCATAGACATACATCTGGGGCTGATGACGCTGCTCCTGGGAGTAAAGTGGCCACTATTGTTACTCCCCAAGAACCAAGACCTCGAAAAATACCCCAAACAACTTCGCAAAATGATCCCCGGGTAAGTACATTTTATTATGTTTTTAATACTTTGATGCATCATTTAAAAGTTGTAGATGAAAAGAAAAAAGGATTGAACAAATCTGGCTTTTTTTATGTTAAAACCCACATATACAAATTTAAAAAATTTAACTTTTCCCACATTTTTCGAAATCAATTTACCATTTCGATCCTCAAGTTGCTGGCCTAATATTCTTTATATCAGCCACCATTTTTTTAAAGCAGCGGCTCTGGAATGGTAAACAAGGTACATTTTACTTAGAAAACATAAACTTTTGTAATTTACATTCAAACCTTCGCCTGCGATTAGGTCGATTTTTGAGCCGGGGCTCCTTAGTTTCAACTGTTCATTAAAACAAACCTGTGAGAATGCTGTCAATTGTGTTTATTAATCTATTCTAGCCAAAATGTGAAACTTCTTATTTATTCCTCCAATTAAATTAAAGGAAATACTTATTGGTGGGATTTGAACCAGTACTGCTTATGACTTGAGATTACCGATGCCAATACCTGCTCAGCCATTATTACTCAATAAAAAAAAGAAAATATAGTCATCATGAATAAAAATGTTTTTTATTGTACTGACACTGACTGTATGCTAGGAGTTAAATAATGTTTTATCAAAATCATAAGATATTTATATTTAATATAGTTTGATAAAAATAGTCTAAGTAATTTAAAAAAATGAAATTTAATTGATATCCATAATTATTATTTTGTTTTTTCAGGGAGAAACATCTTCAATGCCATATAGAAATCAAACTCAAAGGTCTAATTTGATTACCGTACCAATCCAAGAAGACCAGAGCACTACTGCACCTCCTCAGCCTCCTCAAATGTCTCATTACCATCAGGTGATTATTTTTAATTGTAGATATTGTATCAATAAATCATTAATTAACCCAGATTAGACTGATTTTTGAAAAACAAATTATTTCTAAAAATATTTTCTGTTCTCTCTGCAGGATATTTTAAGTATTTTAAATTGAATTTTTCCAAAAATAAGAGTAGAGATGTGTAGTAAAACAACTTAAGAGAGAACTTTAAGTACGTTTTAAGGAGCATACTCCTAATGATAACAAAAGATGAAGGTATGGAGATGCTACTATGAAAAGAAGTTCTCAAATTATGAATTGTCAATTGTAGTACATCCAGGATTAAGGAGGGTAAGGTTGGAAGAACCAGTAGAGGAAATGGACGACTGCATCCAGTAGGACAAAATAGAAGAAGCATTGTCCAACGTGAAACAAGGAAAGTCAATAGAAAGAGGTAATATCTCATCTGAATTTATTAAGTTTGGCAGAAAAGAAAAGTAAAAGAAATCCAGATGATTTTTGAAAAATGTGGGATCAAAAGAAAATTCTCAAGGAATAGGAATACAATGTTATCTATCATCCCAATACATAAAAAAGGGAAGTAGTATATAAACCCCTCTCAACAGTAACATATAAACTGTATACCAAGCTATTAGAAAGAAGACTCTACAAAATAATCAAAGATGATTTGGGACAAGAACAAGTTTCTTTCCATCCCAAAATACCACATATTTTCTTTAAGAATGATAATGGAAAAGACTTGGGACTGAGAGAAGAATGTGTATCTTGCCTTTTGGGATATAAAGAGAGTGTGGGAGCATTTGATTCAGTTCCTGCAAGAAGATTTGGGATGGACTAATTAGAAAGAAGATTCCTCCAAATCTAAGGAATGTAATAAAATCAGCATACCAAAAACCTAAGGAGTGGTGCGTCTCAATGGAGAACAATCCAAACCATTCTTCTTTGAAAAAGGAGTCAAACAAGGTAGCCTTAGCCCCTTCCCTTTATTGCATTACTGGATGTAATACTTGAGATAAGCTAGAGAACATCCTGGACTATTGTTGGAAATCAGCGCAGCAGAGAGCTAAGTTTTGCAGATTGGAAGAAGCCTTGAATTGAATTGATGGTGTAAGCCTTGAATATGTATATTCCTATCAATATTTGGGCATCCTTATATGCAGAGACAGATGCATTGACGAAGAAATTTTTATTTCTTTAAATTTAAATTTCCAAAGGAGCCTTTATCATATTAGTAACACAATAATTAGCAAGAAAGAGGTCCGTAGATACACCAAGCTAGTGGATGGTTAAAACAATATTCTTGCCTGTCTATGGAGCAGATCATTGTACAGCCACAGAGAATCATTTGGGGTAAAACCAAGATAGATTACATCTGAAACAAAGTTAATTGAGATGAACTGGATCTATTCTCAGTTAAGGCAAAAATAGAGGAACATTAAATTAGGTGGTTTGGACATGGGCGCAGAATTCCTGACACCTGGAACAGCAAGTAGTACATGGAGGCCAGATCACAAGGACGAAGACCAGTAGAACAACCTACGATAATATATACTCTCTAATAGGGAGTTCTTAGAAGGTTTAGGAGAAGAAGAGGAAATAAGTGGTCCCAGGTGTGTCAAATGGCCGGAGATAGGAGTGTGCGGTGGATGTGGCCCATGCTAAGGAAAATAATATGACAAGGTTAGGAGAAGTTAAGGGTAGGTTGGTTAATGCTAAAAAACTAATGCATAAAATGGACAGAAATAAATAAAATTCATAATTTTTTATTCTTTAGATTGATAATACAATCAACTTTGCTTGTTATTAATTTTTTTATTGTATTGACAAAATATAATGGAAATGTCTTAACATGAATATTTCGTTACAGAGTGGACCAAGCACTGGAACTGCATATGCTGCAGCTGCGACACCAACGACTGGCTATTACACGAATCCCCCTCCTCCTGGCTACTATCCACCGCCCTATACCACACCCCCTCCACCTCCCCAATACCAGGATCCCACTGCATCTTATTGGCCTCATCCACCACCGCCTATCCACCAATTCTATAGGTAGTATTAAGTACCTAATTAAGTACTAGTACCAGGTTAATTAAGTACTAGTTACCTATTAAGTACCAGGCTAATGGTACCTACTTAAACTAATTTGGAATTGATTCCTCTCTCTTTGAAGTCGAGAATAGCTCTGGTTATTGATACCGAATCACTTTTCAAAAAGTGTATTGGTTTATCAAACATTAATTATAGAAGTTGTAGTTCGACTGTACAACTTTTCATTAACATTTTAACATGTAGATTTTAATTCATCTACAATAAAAAATAAAAAAAATAGAAGAACTATAATTTAACATTTTAATATCTATACATATAAATTTAAAATTATTTATTATGATGTTGTAGTTTACTATATTTTATTTGTGTTTGTAAATTATTTTCTTTATTTTAATGCCTTGGAAAGTATATAAATTATTTTTAAAAGGCAATGTATATTTATTTTGACCAAACAATTTGTAATAAATGTTAGGAAATAATGAATTGTTTAATTTATTTTAACTAACATTACGTATACAATTTACGAATCATTAATGTATTTAGAATAGATCAATTAATTATTAAGAGTAGGATTTTGAGTTTTCAGTAGTAGTAATGTTGTAGGAAAGGGTAATTATAATTCGAAAATCTTAAAATTTGAAATTGTAAATTGATACCCCTTTAGATGTGATTAATTTCAGATTTTGAATTATTTTTACTAATGTGCATAAAACAATTCTTGAGACTCATGATTTAACTTATTGTTATTGATGTTATCAGCTAATTAAGATCACTTATTATTCAGTTATCTTTGATACATGATGATTAAGTATATTTGTGCCTAGTTATCTTGGTATGATGTACCCGAAGTTATCTAAACTAAATCTTGCACATTGGTTAATTGTTAGCACTATGTAAGATTAATTAACATGAAAAATAAAGTTATATAAAGGTCGTATGTAAAATTAAAGGTTGTATGTAACAATTTTCTATGTTTACTCTGAGCTAATTTTTTACTAGGTAACATTTTTTAGTCTGCAACTATAACAAATAGTCTACCACTACGGAAAATAGTGTAGGGAAATAAGATATGAAATTATACTAATAAATTATAAAGAAATTATCAGTTTTTGTTATTATGTTCTTTAAGAAATTATGTTCTTTTGTAAAAAAACTCAACTTTTACATACGACCTTTTGCACAAACAGTAGCAATATTGTTTTGTTTATTGCAAAAATTATATTTTTGATGGGGCTAAACTTTTAAGTACTTTTTTGTGAATTTCAACTTTATAGCTAAAAAATCACACAGTAAATGTATCATAATGACACAAAGCTTTTTATTTACCAAGTACAGTTACACCAAGTGCACAAAATGTTTTGATTTCACATTGAGGAAAATTCATCAAAGTACTAGTATTGAATACTAGTAATGAATTTTTGCAATAAACTCATGATGCCTGATTAAATTTTCAATTCTGAGCATTATACATGGGCAAAAACTATTCTGAGTAGATTATTTTATTCGAATACTGGCTCTGTATGAATACAGAAGAATTAAATTACATCAGTTATAAATGAAGATCAACTTTAGTAGTGATTATATTGCTAGCAGTGATTAAATTTGAGTAAAAAAGTTGGTACCGGACTAGTTTTTTCCTATTTCTGCTGTGTGTTCATTTATTTTAAAAAGAATCTTTCCAAAAATGATGAAATTATATTAAATCAATAAATATAATTTGTCATAGTTCTAATTTTTACTTACAATTAGTGCTGACAATTTATTGATTAGAGCTTTCGACAGGTTATATTTTTTAATTATTTGAGTTTGTTATTAAGTTGCTACTAGCGGTTATATGTGCTTTAATTTTTGTAATAATTACTACTCATTCAAGTACAAATGAGATATTATATAATAAATTATTTATAATAATTAGAAGTGCATCAAATTGAATGAAAATAAGATGAACTGTTACTATTATTCTTGTGATGTAGAGATGGTTGACCGTTGATATAATATGAGAAGGAGTTAGTCGGGGGTGCGGTCAGATAAATACCTAATTAAAATATAGTAATTATTTTATTTTAATTTTGCCGACGTTTCGACCCACTTTGCAGGTCGTCTTCAGGGCGTAGGATGTAGCACTGCGGGAGGCAATTGAAACACTGTATCCTACGCCCTGAAGACAACCTGCAAAATGGGTCGAAACGTCGGCAAAATTAAAATAAAATAATTACTATATTTTAATTTAGTATTTATCTGACTGCACCCTGGACTAACTCCTCATATTATTCTTTTGGTCAGAAATTGTTTTGAGAAATTAGCAAAAATATCAGACCTAAAAACTTGTCTGAGTTTTTTTTAAGTATTACAGCATTAATTCAACTTAAGTACCAGACATGGATGAAATTTATTGATAATAAATACAAAAATAATCCAAAGCTTCTAATTATGTTTGAATATAATTGAACTATTTACTAGATTAGTTCACAACAATAATCACAAAAAAATAAAAAACAGTAACAATTCAAGGACCACAATGTTTGTAAAACTCAGATATCCACTGTGAAATGTGTTAGTAGGCCTTAGTGAAAACATAAAAATTATTTTTCATATATTCCTCCCACTTATAAAATAAGCAAAAGCAAACTCTTGAAATTCAAAGTCGAACCTTGAATGGATGAAGATGCTGTTTAATAGATTTTCGGATAGAGATTTTTTTTTTACAAATAAAAGTTATGCATTTTTCGTCACCTTGTTACATTACCAACCCTAGATTCTGAGTCAATTGTAAGATTCCTGATGGGTTCGATAGACCATATCCTTAAAAAATTATATATAAAATAACTTCATTTGTCATTTTTTCAGAACTTTAAATATATAACAACACCTTCATCCATTTGTCATCAATTAAATAAATGTATTGTCGGCTGGTTGTACTTCATCTAATGTTCATGGCTCATTGGTATGACATCAATATTCAGAATTCTCACCCCAGTTCAGGTTTTGAATTTAATGAAACAAATATGCACTTATTTCCAAAACACACTCATTCTGCATTACCTTATTTTAATTACTTTACTAAAAATATCGATAACGTAGCTTTGAGGAGCTTTACTTTCAGCCTAACTGAAGTGAATTTTCTTTTAAAGTTACTTCAGAAAATTAATATATGTGTGGGGTTAAAATGGGTCTCTCTCATTTTGAAAATTTGTTAACTTTTTTTGAATAACAATTAAGTTGACTCCTGTAAATTTAATGAAAAATTGTTATTCTCCTCAGAAGTAAAATTCTGTTTATTGATTTGGTAGAATATCTAATTATTCAAATGAAAGTAGTTATTTTTTGTTTAATTAATTAATGATACATTTATTTATGAAAATGAGTTATAAAAAAAGTTAACATAAGGTTTCTATGAATGAAATATTTCCATGTCTGGTAAATATATTGCCTATTTCTAAAACAAAAATGGATTTATTATACATTGTTCGTGCAATGCCAAAATGACCTATCAGTTAATGTGCCGAACTGCAAAAATCGGGCTTATAATTATGATTGCTGATGCAATGTAGTTGATTTCTTATTTAAATTCATTGTATCATGTTTAATTAAGTTTGCCTTAATTAAGTTATTTAAAAAATGTCCAATAGAAAATTGCAAATCCAAAAATAGCAAAATTTAAAGATATGCCATTTTGGCATCTGATCAACGATATATTTCTTTCCTTCTTGAACTTAGAGAATAGTACAATTTGATATGTTATATTCTTCCCTCTTTTTCTAGGATTGTTACGGCTGTATGTTTATTGTAGTAATCAATTAAGTTCGTTATTAAAAACTACCTGAAATTCAGCTAGTCAACTTACTGGTTATTGAAACTGTGGATTACATTTATTGTACCACGCTAATGGATATCAACTGTTATGTCTTGTTATATTTTTTCTGTTAGCTAGATGAATTTTTCATTTATTTATTTTTAACGTTAAGATTAAACATTGATAGAAGTTTAAAAAAAAAAAATTGAATTTCATTTAAAAAAAAAGAAAGTCGGATTATTTTTTATGTGGATGCAACAGCACAATAACATTGGCACAATTATTCATAATATATTTACTCTTTCTATTGTTTTTGTTGTCTTGAAGTATTTAAGTATTACTTGTTATCTATCAGTCATAAATATGAATGTTTGTATTTACACCTTGATGTATATTTGTATTTTTTTTTGTAATGTATATTTTATTTATGTATTTTAAATAATAGATAAATATATTAAAAAAAAAAAGGAACAAAATCAAATGTATTTTATATTATTCATGTTCAAACGGCTGAGATTCTTTGTGGTAATCCTAAAAGTTAAAATGTATTAACCATTCAATTATTAGGTATAATCAAAGTTAATCATGATGTGTGGCAAAATTGATATCTTAAGCTGATTTACTTTCAGTCTCATTTATCGATAGGAATATTTTTAATAACATCCCTTCATACTTTTTACCATTTAAGTACAAAGGTGTATTATTAAAGATATAACCATTAGTATATAGTAGAAATTGGTCAGGGATGCAGTAAAAGATGAAAGTTCAAACAAATAAAAATTTGTATACATCTTTGACTGCACCAACTAATATTATCACCATTATCAGTATATAAAATGGAAACAAAAATTAATAGGATTTTACAGTTATTATGTCTTAATGATATCTACAGTTCTGTCCATATGATCAATGCGTGTCATTACATAAAACTTAATTATTGTCATTATACTTGTTTATAATGAATGTACTGAAACGAAGCCTAAACAGATAGCTGGGTAGAAATTAGCCAGCTGTTTCATGAAATATTAGATGTTTGTTTTTCCATGACTAAAATGTATTGTATTGCATCTATTTATTATATCTGAACCCACTGCCATTGTAATCATCTTGATTTGTGTAATTTATATAATTATACAAATTTAAATTATCCTTTCATTCTTGAATATGTACTTAATAAATAAAGACATTTGAAGGTTTGTTTTCTCATTATTTTATTTCCTCATTTGTTACTGAATAATATGTTGAGTTATTATAAGTTAAAAGGCCTTAACTCCGACCTGTGTAATCGACCTGAGGCGCCAACATAGAGGGACGACCGTTGAGGGCACTGATCATCAGGGGCACTCACCACTTATTAAGAATTTAAAAAATATATTGAGAAATATTGAATGAAATAAAACTTGAACAGTATAAATTACATAAAATATAAATACTATAAAACAGCTTGAGAAATAAATTTAATTTTT